AGATAGAACCAACAACGAGACGTTCATTCTGTGGGATGTGCTTTATACATGCACAAGCTCATTTAAGCTAAAGTTTTAAAGATGTCCACAGACAAATGGATCACCTTCACCTTTCCTCTGTGTTCAACACGTATTGCCTGATAATGTCATATTACCGCTGGTGTTCCTGTAGCGTGTGTATGTATCATGCAGATGAAGATTTTAAGCTTACAATATTATATCGTGGTATGTGACGTTATCTTTCAATCAATCACTATGAATGTATTACGAGAGCGGTGGATTCTTTATATTCTTCGCAGATCGAGCTAGCGTTACAGAAGAAAACAACGTAATTTACAATCAGGACAAAATCAATGTTATTTCCCCAAACAATTCCTCAGTATTCTGTTTTGTTTGCTTTTTATGTGCGTTGAAACTAAACATTGACTGGCAGAATGTCAACCGGAAGGGCGATGACTTGAATAAAGCAGTTACAGGAACATGAGAGCGTGTTCAGGGAGCAGTTTGGCATTATCAACAGCCTTCCTTCACATCCGTAAACCCAAGAACATAACAATATAAACGTCATACAAACATAATGACTAAATCTATATGTGTCATAAATTGAACTATCAAAGGAGTAGAGCAGTCAAAACACGCGCTAGATGAAATGCATAATTAAGGTCCAGCACACAAATAACACAATAATTCAATGCGTCTTTGTGGTTTTGACGCAAAAATCGAATATGGTCAGTTATCTGAATCTCGCATTGAACTGGTCATGTGTGGCTTGTGGGTTGATTTAAGCTAGAGTTTGTGTATGTATATGGTTACCAAGGGCAGAAGGTGTGTAGACAATGGACAACACGGTGGTTGATTTCTATGATGCCAATACAAACAATGCCACCACCATCCTTGCCACCAACACCACCTGAACCGACGATGACCTTTCTCCAGTCTTCCAACGTATCACATTTTGCCGAATAGAGTTGTTTCCCTCAGATGTGCCAAATACCTATGATCGTTGAGACCAAATTAGTGCTGATTATGTTTCTAGGTTTGTTGGCACCTCACCAAAGTTGTAAACGTGTAAGATCTGCATCACTTCAGGTTTTCTTCCCATATCAAGCTGAAACACCGTTACATGACTGGACTACTGTCCAAAGCGGCATTAAACCCAACTCACTCACTCACCCACTCACTCATTTTGATTATAAGTTTAACCCCAAAATCGCACCAATTCGGCATTACATCTACGATCGTTGCTCTTTTTCTGGCTGATTATTGTTTTTAACGTATGAGGACGCCGTGGTGCTATCCGGACTAATATATTTTGGTAAGTGTGTAATTCCCTTTCATTTTGACGTTCCGACAGTAATCGCTCAGAAGGCGTGATGTCCAGGGTAAGGAGGTATCACAGTTTCTCCATTTATAGGATACCAGAATTTTTAAACATTGGGTCAGATTCCTAACATGCAATGGTTTAAAGCGCAGTCTTGTTGTCTCGATAAGGATGGAATCATGCCAACAGAGGGATACATTTAATGACGTACTCACATATGACGCAAGAGCAATATCCCATTTGATCAACAAAGGAATAATAGGTTTTTATGATTTAATCATGCTTCAGCTAACGTTACATATATGTGGTAGGTTTACAATGCTACCTTGATGAGCATAAGAGAAATCGAGATGGCTATGAATAATTAGGAGAAAATAAATACTCATGACGAATATGATGAGATTCAATCTTGATGGAAAGTGAACGTTGTCAAAGCTCTTAGGAGGTTTTCCTTCGCAGGTGGTCATTGCGGTTTTCTCAATCCGGTACAATCAACTCGCATTAAAACAACGCTTAACGGCATATCTGAATACAATAACCCCGTGTCAAGTGTCTCAAATAGTGACATAATCCATCAATTATATACCGTTGTATCGTGTTGAAATACACGAACGTATAGGATGGTAAGACGTTTTATGATTTTCCCAAGAAAAATATGGTTGCTTGGTAACAAGACGGTAGATTCTAATGGTTATAGTTTCAAATTTCCCATAGTGTACAGAGACGCATTAGCCATCTGTGATGATTGAGGGTTAGCAATTGCGATACCGAGTTAAACTGTAACACATCGATCAGTGACCTTAAGGTCGGCGTTACGAGTTCGATATTTGTTTAACTGTCCTCGTTAGTTTTGCGGTAACATGTTTTCGTTCCTTTTGTTTTCAAATTTGACACTTCAGTGATGTCTGATGCTATTCCCATTTGTTTCTCTCTTTAGGTGAACAATTTACTTGCTTATGCATGTGTTTGTGACGTGCCACTGCAGTTGTGTGCAGGGTTTCGTCCTTAGCCTCATCGGGGTTTGCAGCGGGGTTTCGTCCTTAGCCTAATCTGAGTTTCGTCCTTAGCCTCACCGGGGTTTCATCCTCAGTATCACCGGGGTTTCGTCCTTGGTCTCACCTTGGTTTCGTCCTTAGCCTCACCGGGGTTTCGTCCTTAGCCTCACCGGGGTTTCGTCCTTAGCCTCCCCTGGGTTTCGTCCTTAGCCTCACCGGGGTTTCGTCCTTAGCCTCACCGGGGTTTCGTCCTTAGCCTCACCGGCTCTTCGTTCTTAGCCTCACGGGGGTTTCGTCCTTAGCCTCACTGGGGTTTCGTTCTTAGCCTCACCGGGGTTTCGTCCTTAGCCTTTACCGGGGTTTCGTCCTTAGTCTCATCGGGGTTTCGTTCTGAATCTCACCGGGGTTTCGTCCTTAGTCTCACCTGGGTTTCGTCCTTAGCCTCACTGGGGTTTCGTCCTTAGCCTCACCGGGTTTCGTCCTTAGCCTCACCGGGTCTTCGTTCTTAGCCTCACCGGGGTTTCGTCCTTAGCCTCACCGGGGTTTCGTTCTTAGCCTCACCGGGGTTTCGTCCTTAGCCTTTACCGGGGTTTCGTCCTTAGTCTCATCGGGGTTTCGTTCTGAATCTCACCGGGGTTTCGTCGTTAGCCTCACCGGGGTTTCGTCCTTAGCCTCACTGGGGTTTCGTCCTTAGCCTCACCGGGATTTCGTCCTAAGTCTCATCGGGGTTTCGTTCTTAGTCTCACCGGGGTTTCGTCCTTAGCCTCACCGGGGTTTCGTCCTTAGCCTCACCGGGGTTTCGTCCTTAGCCTCACCGGGGTTTGATCCTTTGCAAAGCGGCGTTCAACTCAACTCACTCATTCACATATACGGTTTCCCAGAATAGTGAAAAAAGGAACGAAGGAGGAAGCTTCATAAACAATATTTCCGATTTGAAAGTTTTCTGCAAAGCATACTCTATCAGCTGCAGGAAGACCATGACAATAATGTTCAAATCACGCAATGGTTTCAATTTGATAACTATCGACAAAGTATATTTCATGATATAATGAACTAGCGTCATTCAAACTAATGTTTACATCACTCACTGTAAACGTCTAGTAATATTATAATACATTTCCAAACGTATAATCAAACATAATTAGTCTTCTTTGATGTAAGCTCTGGGATAATAAATCTGACATTGGGTAAGGTTTATTCCCACACGTGACTGACGGTAATCGTGTTTCGATATATAAATCAATGCCAGAAACACCTAATTAATCATCTATATCAGCTTATATACCCAAACACAATAAACAAACACGATCACAAAACCTATAATGTGTCCCACGCAAGACAGATAAGTATATTACGTCAAGGCATCCACATATTTATGGTATTCAGTATTACCAATTATTGAGACGTATAGAAAGCCCCATAAACGAACATTATTATGAGGAGCCGACAGTGAACTTTAGGATACATAACAGACAGAACAAACCATTTCGTTGTTTCTCTACCTTACGTATATACATTAACCGCGTGGACGGGTGTTCCAGCATCAGGGTGTGTCTATGTGCATATCCGTTATTGTACCGCCAATCGATTATCAAGACAAAAGACACCAGTTTAAGGATGTCAACGGGTACTTTTTAGTGTTCACTGCGCAACTCGAGCTGTCGTATGTCGGAAATGTTTTAACGACATCTTTTAAGTCAATGTAATTCAATCTGATGCTGATATTTGACGTTTTACGTCAAACGAATTTAATACCACTTTGGTTCATGTTATTGCTACCAGCTACAAAGAGAATGTGAGAAGCGCCGCGCAACGTTTTTTCGACTTTGACGACTTCACAATTTAACTGTTTGAATGATGTTAAAGGAACGTTTATGCATATTCGAAATAGGGGAGATAAATACTATTTTCCCTGGTAGAAGATCATGTGTTCGAGTTCGACCAGATTACGATCAATTGTTTTTCAGCACCAAGACATCGCTCGTGGTTTCTGTGGAGAGGTGAAGTCCACATGTGGTACTTCCTTTTCAGAATATTTTGACAAACCGTGCTATAAGTGTAATAGTGTTCGAGGCAGCGTTTAACTATTCTTAATTTCTTAAAGATCAGTCCAGATGGCTATATGAAATCAACCTAAAAAGGGTTGTTTGGGAGAGAAAATCGCATCGTGCAATTATATATGATTCCATAGACTATATAGGCTAACTGATTGGGAATTGGAACAACTTCATAATACTGAATCTGGATACTTGTATACAAACAATGATGACACCAGGGCCCACTTGCACAAAGCGATTTTAGCGCTAAGATGATCGTAACTCCCATACTTAAACATAGGCTTACAAGAGTCTTAGCGCTAAGATCGCTTTGTGCAAGTGGGCCCAGGTGTTCGTAAAACAGATGGTCATGTCCTACCGATTGTAACCGTGGGGGTGGTGGTCGAGGTCATGCGACCACTTCAAGAATTAGTTTTATGTCAAATCTAGGATGACATTTTCAGACATATGTATGTGATGGCATTATATTTTTTTGTCAGAACATTATTAATATTTTGCTTTTCAGTAGACAGAGTCGATCGGCATCATACTAAATACAGTTTAAGCGTATATTGAAATCGATCTCCACCTATTCCCTCGGAGTTGTCATGAAGACGGAGGAGTACATTTCATTATTTTCTCTTGCAGGAAACCTTCATACACACATACTGCAGACAGGCACAACTATATTGTGCAGCTGAAGGGAAGCCAGGTGAGCTAATCTAATGTGTGTGTTAATGCGTGTGTGTGTGCGTGTGTATGTGTGTGTATGCGTGTGTATGAGTGTGTGTGCGCGTGCGTGCGTGCGTGCGTGCGTGTGTGTGTATGCGTGTGTGTGTATGCGTGTGTGTGTGTGTGTGTGTGTGTGTGTGCGCGCGCGCTCATTTAACCCCGCCTTCAGCAATATTCCAGCTATACGACGGCGGCCATACAATCAAGTGATTGATATTGCGAGCAACGAGCCACGCTATCGGGGTACGATGACAAGGACAAGCCACCGAACCTGACCACCAGGGTGCCGTTGTACAAAGCGGTTTTCACACTAAGGTGATCGTAACTCCCATACCGTAACATAGACTTACGACAGTCGTAGCGCTAAGGTTGTTTTGTATAACGGCACCCAGCACTCCTACGATCACAACAGGTTGCTGGGGACCACTTCTAACCCGGAATCCCCACGGCTTCTGGGGTATATGTTAGAGAAATAGTAGAACCTCGTCAATCCGGAATCGCCCGTTCCAAGTGAAATTGCCCATATTAACAAATATTAACGCATAATGAGGTCGGATTCAAGGTGCGTTGTACAGGGTGTGATCTAAGCACTATGGTTAGTAAAGCTCTCATTCCTTAACATAGACTTACGGCAGTCGTAACACTTCAATGTTGATACTTTGTGTTGTTACTGCCTTGAAACATCACTGTACATATATACGTCATGATAGCTGGCGTCAGCTACTTCCCCTTAAACCGTAATAACCATTGATAAACATTTTCAATTTGCTATTTCAAACTGATTAAGTGGTCAGCTACTGGACATTATGTTACTAAAAAGTCAATTGCTTTTGCGATATTGATAATGGAATCAACAGTCTTAAAGCTTTGGTGGCCAGGATCACTACTGCAAAACTGCTTCACATTCATCTCCAAATAATTGCTTAGTAATCATTTATCGTTAGCCTAGTATATTATTACAACGTCCTGAAAATGACAATTCTCTTTTGTTGCCAACGGCAAAGCCTTTTCATAGCATGCACAGACTAATTACTTCCACATTCAGGCTTGCCAAACACTCACACAATCAGTCCTATAGATGGATGTATAGCGTCACCAGTTTCCATAAGACCTGCATTTCTCATAATAAATTATTTACATATTACATTTTAAATTCATACACTAAAAATGACAAGACATCGGCGTAATGACATATCTGCATCATTAAACAACAACTATGTATTTATGTACAAAACAGCCTACACAGTAACTAACGTTTAACACACTATAGAAATAAACTACACAAACTTGGCAAGTTTCCAATAAAGTTTAACAAAAAGGAACCTGCTAAATCTCATATTAGTATTGCGATACTGACGGGAAATTGCATTGTAATTGCTTTCTTTTTGTCTTCTATCCGATGCTGGTTCCCTAGAGGATATAGCATTTAAGTAAAGAAAGCAGAAGTTAGACACTTTATCCATTATGGACCACTACCCACGATGATAGCTAGATATTAGACAGTTCAAATGACAGCACAATTGGACAGAGACAAAATACAGCACTAAAATATGGTAAATTTCACTTAAAACCGATTTCTGATTTTCTTGTGAAATCATAGTGTCTTTATGCTAAATGTAGTATCTAAAGACATATTATATCATATTTCCATAAGCTGATCCCGTATTGAGCTTTATTGCACAAAAGAGAAGTGATATATCATGTGCAAATATCAATTTCAATATTTTCGTTGTGGAAGTAATTTTAACTTTGTTTTTATTTCAATTGCCACCCAAGCTTCAAACTATCAAGGCAAACACAGGCTGGAAGGCTTTATGTGATTACATAATGCAGCCTTCTAGGAACGTGACATTTAATGCGACATTCGCTTTGAAGAAGCACTTGGTATTTTGATGTGAAACTCAGAAAGTAAATATACTATCGCTAGTAAAATAGATCCGTTGATAATGTGAACAAGCGAGCTACGTGTATCATTGCCATTAGTTTGAACCCCCTTTAGAATATAGTGGGTCAGGGATGGACCTTTTGTCGCGTGTCATCTATGTATTTACTACGCCGGGGGCTCCCTGAGTGATTGTCCATTGTGTTTGAAATGCACTGCATATGGAACAAACAAATAGGATTGTTAGGACTGTAAAAGGAGTCCATTAGTTGACAATTGGTGTGTCGGCTTGAACCAATTTTCACCGCAGCCTCAGTTAGAGACAGGCTCGTAAGCACTGGCATGCAAATCTCTTAGGAGACTGTCGCAAGCTCACCAACGGTCTTCGGCAACAAAAACAGCAATACGGGGTTGCCATTTGCGATAAAAATGTCCTTGGAAGAGTGCGACTAAGTGTCAGAAGTACTTATCCGTCTTATATTTCAATGACTCCTCTAATGAAAACGTAAAATTCCTCAGAGATAACCTTTGATCTCTGAGGAACCAACGTAGACTGTCCGAAATGCAATATTCGTGAACTGTTAGAGCGCTGTCATCTCGTCTCCCGTGATCTGAAGCGCTGTGATAACAGATATGCTGAGAACACATAAGACATGTATTGCATTGTGAGTGGTATACACAGTACAGTTTTCCGTTCACGTTCACGTCCCGGGAGTTGCATTAGTCAACCCATTTCCTATATATGAAACAACAAGAAACATTAAGTCTGCTATATAAACAGCGTCTTGTGTTTTGAAGGAGTAGTCTTGTGATGTAATCTGACACACGCCTCTCCGTTGGGAGGAATTAATTCATGTATGTATATTATGGTTCTTACTTGATCTAGACCTCGTAAGGTAAAGCTCGCTTGAGACACATACAGAGAATGCAAGGACTAACTTTGCCAAAGTAATATAATTAACATAACTATTTTGCCCAAAGGTAACTGTCTCGGAAGATAATCCAGACTGGTTATTCTCTGGCGTTGATGCTTTGAATTTGCAATGAATATTGGTGTTTGTTTCTTGTTTGAGGCTGCAGTCTGAAATATTGTGTCAAAGTCTGCGACAGGCAACCAGTGTCCGAGCGAGACAGTACAGTAGGAGCATCGTCCCTGACCATAGGATACGATGACACACAATGCAATCAGTCAGGTCGCATGCAGAACCTGGCTGCCTATTTTGGTCAGCTTGTACGACATGCATCGGGTACTGTGGACTAATAAGTCCCATATGCCAAAATAACTTCAAAAACAATGGATGGAACCTATCATAAATATCTTGTCATATGTTCTGTAATGTTGGTCTTGTTTCCTTGCATTGAAGACATCTACGAGAATAATACGATTGACAGATTTCAACTTCAGTTTGTCACTGCAAGCAGAAAAATAATTGATTTGTAAGCTGTAGGTAGGAGACTAGTTTGCGGTACATTAACCTTCGCGGAGTAACTTGAAGCGAAGATCGCCATACAACAATCGATTTTGAGACCGACATTCAGTTATACAGATGCAATCAGGTTTTCGTACAAAGGTATGCTATTCTTGCATAAACACTAAATACATTTGCTGTCTGGTGGGGAGCTTACATGTAGTGTACCTTAATTTCTAATCCGAGTCAAGGTATAATTAAGTGCCTGGAGTCTATGTCATTTGATTTGTCATTTTACAGCCAAGCATGTCCAATTATGGTACTAAAAACATTGTGTTGATAGTCTTAATTGATATCGAAAAATACACAGCTACTGTAAAAGGTTCAGCAGAGTCCTTCCAGTCATGACAGCCATCTGAGGTTTAGTGGATAGAGCGTCTGCCCGGAAGGTCGATGGTGCGATCCTCAGGCGCGTCATACCATAAGACGTTGAAAGATGGTACTTGTTGCTACCCTGCCTGGCGATAGACGTTAAGGAGGATAAAACAAGGACAGGTCGGCTTGGAGTCAGTATGGCTTGGAGTCATATATATATGATAGTGATAACCCATGTACCATATATATATATATATATGTGTGTGTGTGTGTGTGTGTGTGTGTGTGTGTGTGTGTGTGTGTGTGTGTGTGTGTGATGCATGTATATGACTGCAAGGAATAATGTTGAACGCGACGTTAAACCCTAAGTAGAACACTCCAAGTCACGGCGTGCAGAGGGCTCAATAGAACATTTCCAATTATGGCATGCACAGGGTCCCACAGATCTCTTATGAAGTCAAATGTACTGTCTGGAACAGGCAAGAATTCATCACACACGTTTTTCAACAATGACACACAAATATCTTTACATATTCGATAGTCATCTTCAGCTGCACTTTCTCTATTCTTATAGCAGCTATATATTTGAAGACGTGGATACTGAAATTTGCAAGAGTAATAGTAAATACTGTACGTTTTCCAAATTTTTGTGACAAAATAGCATTAAAGTTAAAAAATACCGCTCGGATCCTGCAGAAATTGACGATGGCAATACAAAGTTTCAGAGATGTACAATTAGAATGTAACGTAGCAAGGAATGCTTGCAGTCAGAGGAGTTTAATCTTCTATCGGTTGGTATTATTTTGCATTTTATTGTTCTCACTTCTTTCAGAAAATGATTTGTCACAACGGAACATGATAACTACTGCCGAGAAGCGCAATCAATTGCATGATCAAATTGTCATAACTGCCCGATTTAGGTCGTGTTTCTTACCGAACATATGGAGAATATAAAATTAATGTTCCTCACGGGCAGCGTTTTGAGACTTGAGCAGTAAATTACGACTTTCATTTGGTTTGACCGGTTTAGTTATTACAAAGCGTTATGCATAAGAAAGACTCCACCTGTAATTCCGACCAAACGGAACATTTAATGTTTACAACAGATAGCTTTTAGCACCATATTTAAAGAGCAAATCTTTTATGAACCTTTTTGTATTGGTGTATTATTTCATGTTTCATATTTCATCCTCCTCGACATCGTGCCAGGAAACTTGCGACATAGTGCCCACATGAAGCTGAGCCAATGGATAGTCACCAATTACAATTACGAATGAACTTCCTTGTCAACTAAATAATGAAACTTCTAATTTGAAGCAGCTAATTGAACACTGCAGAAATGCACAAGAGAAGGGATTGAGCTTATGATTAGAAAATATAGCTCATCCGGCATCAAGCGTCAAAGAGACAATGGGGTCGCATTACCACATGGCTGTCAGTGGCAAAGGACTTTATATACTGTACTTCTTAATGATGCCCAGAAGTATCGCAGTGACTGAAATACATGTAGTTGTCTTTATTGTATGAAATGGCTACGTTACAGTTAAGCTGTAATCCTCGGTCATATAGGATGACGTTCTCTAGGTTTGATTAATTTGAGGGATCGCCGGGTAAACTAGAAGATAAAGCATTCGCTCATGACTCCATGCGTTCATTTCATCATATGGGTACAAGGTTTTAAGCCCATTTCTAGTGTAACATGGCTGAACTATCCACACACACTCGCTCACTGATTTGTTTGAAACAAAGGGACTTGTACAAAATAACCAAATAAAACAGCAATCAATTCACGATAACGCTCCTTTTCATTTACCAAGTAACTCGTGTGTCAAATCAGCTGCACACAACTAATGAGGAATCATGAAACAGTTATTTACTTTTTAATCATGTGTTTGCTGTAATAATTGACGCGGTAGTTCACATGACTAAATGGATCAACTGATCTTCTGTTTCAATTGAATCTTAAATCGGACGTCTTTATGCTTTGGTTTATATTTGGTTTATGGCTTGTTTTGAAGGTTAAGATTACAAAGAAGACACAATTTATGGATAACAACTTTTTTAATACGGTAAAAAGCGACGTTTCAGTACAGATCCTTATACCGTTGTCGAGCAAGACTGATTGAGGAACATTGTACAGAATATACATACATGTAGTAGGTGAAGGATTAACAGTTAAAACATTGCATGAGTGGGATAACATGAGTCAGTAATGACAACAGAAGTATAATACTGTCACAACATGATGGACAGAGAACAGATAGATGGAAGCCAATGAGACATAAAACCGATGGGACATAAAGCCAATTAAACAGGATAAGTTACATAGGTGTGCTGATTAATGCTTAATGAGTTCAGAGTAGGCGGATGGGATGAAATAGCCTTGATCTTTGTTGATTGATGGCTTGTGGCGGCGAATGTGGACTGCTTCTGTTAGTTTTCTTTTTTTTAATGAAATCATGGAGGTTGTTGGAGAGGATTTGGACGTTGTCCCAGTTGATGTTGTGAATAGGACAGATGCGGATATGGTCCAAGATGGCTGATTTACTGTCTGATTTGATTGTTGTGGTGTTGTGCTCTTTGTTTTGGGTGTTGATGGGGCGGGGTGTTTCACCTACGTAAGATTGTCTACAGTTGCAGTCAATTTGGTAAACTACACTTTTAGGCTCTTGGGATTTGGTTGTGTTCTTGTCATTGGCTCTTAGCACGGTGTTGAGGGAGTTGGAGCTGGTGAAGTGGGTGTCAATATTAGCTTGAGGACGCGGCTGATGAAGATGATGGATGACAAAGTCTGTGTCAGCCAATGAGGTAATATTGTTGCATCCTGAATTGAAGTATGACATTCTTCAAGTTTATGATGCCTAATCGAACATGGTGTTGACAAACCAAGAATCATAAATCAGGTGATCGAACTCACAAGCATCGGATTCTGGAACGCCTAAGAGACAGCTCTGCACTGCGAATTCCGGCGCCTCAAATTTAAGTTGCTCTTACATTCCTATACCTACAAAAATACTTATTTTGGTGCAATTTTGAATTTAGTGACGTCATCAAACAATGGGTGACACAATATGATATTGTGACAACAAAACATAACACATTCTGGATAACGGAATGCAGAGGACAAAGGAACTATATGTGTTTATTTAAATAATTATTAATAGCAAAATCAAAGTTTAGAACATTTTAACCAATCGAAATGCGACACACAATTTGTTTAATTTTCAGTGATCCATTCATGTAGTTTTCAGCGCTATATTGCCTTTTACGGTGGCAAAAGGAATCTGTTTCCGCGGATAATCGAGACTGATCATCTTCTGGTGTTGACGTTTTATATTTAACAATTAGATATACCAGACATTAGACATGGATCTTTGGTATGATGAAGAGGTTTTTGAATATCTTTGAAATAGTCTTTCAAGAATTTATATTTATTTTCAGGTCCCCCTGGAAGGCCAGGCAGTAGGGGTTCAAAGGGAGACTTTGGCTCTGCAGGTATGTATTGAATATAGCAAACTGGAAATCAATGGGAGTTTTCCGAAAGCAACGATCTGATCTACAGTTTGCTATATTTATATTTTACATCATATAATCGAGGCGAGGTATATCTGTGGCACACAAAGAGGTCGAGAGCGGAAGGCCGATGGCTCGATAGTATATGCAGCCACACACACACGCACCTATTAACCATTGCTGTCCATCTGCAGTTTCTTTTTTATTTAACTTTCTCTTCGATTATCCTACGAGAAGTCGTCTTGCGAAGCATCATAGTCGGCCTTAGTCTTGACCTACAACTGCATGTTCGTGTGCTGTGTCCTAATTACTTGGTCACGTGGTCAAACAAGTGATTAAAATACACCCTACATTCTTTACTGTATTGGGGCGGTCGGGTAGCTTAGTGGTTAAAGCGTTCGCTCATCACGCCGAAGACCCGGGTTCGATTTTCTACATGAGTACAATGTGTGAAGCCCATTTCTGGTGTCCCCCGCCGTGATATTGCTGGATTATTGCCAAAAGCGGCGTAAAACCATACTCCCTCACTAAAAATATCTAACATTCTTGTGTTTAGTCTGGGTAAGGCTCTGTGTTTGGCCATGATTCACAACATGTTTATGTAGCGTGAAGACATTGATCAGATAGACAGAACATGCAGTGCCTTCTTGGGGATTTCGAATGAATAGTAGACTGTCTATTAGTAGCATCTTACATCAAACCTTTGTACGGGCATATTATTTACCGTTAACAAAGACATTAAATCACGAGCGCATTCCTCGGTTCTTAGCCTTAAACTACATTCATTCCAATGCCAATAAAGGATTATTCCGGTCCGATATCGATTAGACTTTGTACTAAGTACTGAATTATCCAGTACATACATTGCAATCACTATGCTGATGCACACACAGTCTTTCCATCGTGGTCTTAAACCCTTCCGAGAATACTGAAACTGATGGCGCTTTTACCGTTAGAAGTAGGCTGCACTGAAGTGACTTGCCTTGAGGAAGCCAGAGCCCCGGGCAGTTTTTGTTCGTTTATGTGGATTCACTGAGAAAGTGGAGTGGTCATATAACTTTAAACAAACTCTAGAATATTGGCTCTTACGTTCATTCTTACATAGGAGAAGAGCTAGAGACAGTATTGATTTGCAGTGTTTGAAAATAAGCAAATGCTTATTAGAATAATAATTTGCTTGCTATGTGGCAGTTTGTGGCTTGTCGATAGTATGTTTGTTTAGTGTTCGTGATGATTCGGCATACATGTACCTACGATGAGAATGATATGTCCCTTAAAACACACGAGATATTTGGAATAGACCATTAGTTGTCTTTTTAGGTATTGTAATTGTTCGCTCGTCACGCCGAAGACCCGGGTACGATTCTGATAAATCCGACTATTTCGGCAGATAGTCGAGACTGTATATTCTCTGGCGTTGATGCTATATATAATTTCGAATGTTAATCAGTTTTTAACAAATTTAAAATATAAATAAGTAAAAACGTTCTAAACATAGCATGTCTATCTTACAGTCCTCATACAGATCTCTACTGGTTTTCATATACTTCATCATTTAAAATACACACATAAATCCGACAGCTCTGGGGACAACTCAATTTATTTTTACGCTGATGTGGACTCGACCCTGTGCCCATAAGGTACACCATTATCTCATACCCAGATGGACGAGGTTAAGCTTTTATAACACATGAAGTGTTTTTGGAGCACTTGAGCGTTTTCTTTAGCGGAGTTACTGCAGTCATTAGCTTCCAAAGTCACTGTGACGGTCTCCCTCGGGGCCTAGGCAGCACACTGAGCCGAACGGGGCCAGCCATCAGCAGCTTAAACCGAAAAGAACTGGTAACAAGATAACGTAGACACATTTATATCTGGAAACCATAGCGAAACATACTGGAACCTCATCCGTTTAGCTTTTGACTTGTCCTTGTCGCTGTCATCAATCTAATACTCTAGTGCTTGTTTACCGATGTGCTTTCAATATTGCAAAAGATACGGGCAAGAATTTGAACTTTGACAATGATTCTAAAAAATGTAATTGACTTTTAGACATGAAGTTATTCTTGAAACAATTGCAAATAAATATGAATAAGGTTATTCCATTGGATACTTGACGAACTCATTGAAAGTCTGAACTTTGATATTTTGCAAAAGATTATTATTTATTGGTTGATTGGTTTAGATTCTGACACATTTTCAAGCAAATATGCATGGGAATTTTGACTGAAATTGCTGAAATGAGCGTGAGTAGTTTTTTACGCCGTTTTAAACTGTATTTCGGTTATCTCACTGCGTTTTGGGGGACATAAAAGCGATATTACCCTTTCCATAAACAAAAGAAATCTGTTTGTCGACATGACCACGTGTGTATAAAAAATATCAAGTAGTGATGATACCAGGTGTTTGCGAAAGGTAAAGTCTATTCGTCACAAACACATGCAAAGACAAGTGATTGTTGACCTGAATGACCGAAATTATGTAGCGTCTTAGGCTTGAATCTCCGGCCACGTCCCAAATGCATGTAAGTGCAATAATCTTGAACGGACTTTCAGCCCCATCTCACCTCACCTCACCTTTGACGGAACCCAATGGAACGACATGTATTCAGTATTTTATCAACTTAAACTTTCCACCGACATTTCTTTCGTATAATAGTTCATCTTATTCCCTTATAATCGGTTTTATTCAATGTGTAATGGTGGAGTGTTCAGTCCCCCGACGCGAGACTCAGACAGTGAATCCAAGCGTTGACCCAACAGTACTGTTAACGTATTATCCTAATTGAAACCACATTACCCTTCCAGTCTAATTTCCTGATGCCAGTCGATAATATTGGATTTGCTTAGATTACTTTATCTTGCTACTAGGCTGGAGGATGAGAAATGTTTTCTCGTTTCTGTCTTTAAAAACGTTACATCCGGCTATTGCGTGCAATGTTCTTTTCGTTGTATCAGCAGGCCGGGATGTAGAAACACGAATGACAGAAAAACGCGACGGAAGAGAGCTGGATGTGGTCTATTATTTAGTGATGTCACATTGAATGAAACATTGAATAGATCATGCACTGCATACACATTCAAGATGAGTGTGTGTTTACGAGTGATGAAGGGTCAGATGGTACAAGATTGATACGATGTCTTTTTGACGCCATACACGCTTTCAGTAACCCGCCAGGTGTTCACACAGCAATCATTTGTTTCCCAGAAAGAAGGATCAGGTCGATGTTCGGGTGTATCAATTTAACATGATAGCAGAGAATCTAGGAAGTGAAATATGTTGTGCGTAAACAACTTTAGGGATAAATGACACGAATTTGCATTAAATAATTGACGTCCCGGTATTCCCGATGCTTAAGTGTGAAGAAGGGTAGAAAGTCAATTTTCACATGATGTTTACACCTACACCATGACGATCACACGCAGCAGAACCTAGAGACTGATCTCAGTTCACAGTCTAGGGCCTGGGAGGGATTGTCAGACAGCACAGTGTTTTGTCTTCACGCCCCAACAGCCTTTGTTTCAAGAACTTCATTCCAAAGTTTCACTGTTTTCAGTGGGGCTGCTGCCATTTTATTATTCCAGAGTTTCACTGTTTTCAGTGGGGCTGCTGCCATTGTATTATTCCAAAGCGTCAATCAAAGGCCTCCACGTTTATTCTATCAAGTGAGATTGTCTTGAATGAAACCATGCTTACAAAATATCTTAATTACAAGATGGATTATGTGATATTGAAAACAAATATATGTAAATACAGTTAGATAAGATGCGGCTAACGCATGTCATCGTATCCGAATTGCTCATGATGTCAATCACTGCATTGTTTGGTCCAGACTCGATTATTTTCAGACCGCCGTCATGTAGCTGGAATATTGTTGAGTGCGGCGTAAAACAACAACAACAACAAGTACAGTTAGACCTACAACTCGAACTCTTTAACCGAATATATCCTTAAGAAGAATGGAACGTCTTGTCTCAGACTACAGATTACTGGATGTCCATCACTTGTTTCCAAGATTTCCAATCAATGACGTTTAACAGTATAGTATACTTGCATATGTAACAATTTTGTGGTCTAGGTTTACCAGGCCAGAAGGGCGAACCAGGAGTGGCTGCACTGTCCTTATATTCCGGTCTTCCTGTTGAAAACCTACGGACTCTTGGGAACTTGAGAGGCCCCCCAGGGCCGAAAGGTTTGTGCAATTTACACGATATACTCAAAGAGATTATTTTTAGACACGCTTTTGTTTTGAAATAGTGTATTTGGGTGAGTTGGGTTTGCACTGCTTTGAATAGTATCTGCAGTTAAGTCACGGCGTATTGTGTGTATGTGGGGAAAACGTCCAACCTAACACAGATTATAGACGTAATAGATTGTGGTGCTGACGATTGACGTCACCACGAGAAATTCTTAAATTCGACGACAAGGCCATTGGAACTTGGCGCGGCTGAAGGAAGCAACGTTTCACAACGAGACCACCTTGCCGCCTGTTCAAACCAAATAACGTTTGCTATGGAAATGAAGGAAACAGCGTTAACAATGGACAACCTAAATGTATGTTTAATAAAGTTAGATTGGGATAATTTACATTTATACGGATTACTTAGTGACAGTATCTTTTAAGCGTAGCAAGTCAATTTTCAAGTCGTTTACACCTGCTAGAACATGACGTCGCTATATCGGTAACCCATGCTTGTCGCAAGAGGCGACTAACGGGATCGGGTGGACAGGGTGCTCGTTGATGTATGTCATCGTATCCTAATTGTTTAGGTCGATGCTCATGATGTCAATCATTGGATTGTCTGGCCCGGACTTGATTAGTTACAGACCGCCGCCATATAGCTGTAATATTGCTCAATGTGGCGAAAAAACAAACCCCTTGTGGCAGCATCCATTTCATCTGGAGGCCAATCTCAGTTCCCCGGCTAGGTGCCCTCCTGGGTTGCCAGACAGTGCAGTGAGTTGTCTTCACCTCACACGTATCTCCGAAGAGTCGCTGTATTCAGGAGGCTCATTTCCTTTACTGCTTATTGAACCACTTCATAACGTGCCAGGGCTGGGAGGCTAAATAAGCATAAAGTTGAAACAATACTTCATAGCTCGCCTGAACATTTTGTCATTAATTTTGCACTGTTACCATAACTGTTGATTCACCCCTTAAATATTAACCCAAGTGCAGTAGCATACATGCTAAAGGAATTAAATCGAGCTGCAAAGCATATTTGCAATATTGAAGAAAAGATTCCTCTGCATTATATGAACGCTACACATTCAGATGAAAGCATGTCTTGATGTTTTTGTAGGGACCGACAGCATTTTCTGGGACAATTCATTTTTTCTCAATAAAATCCCAGGCTCCCTGCTATACCGTTTCAAACGCAACTGGTTCTCCGAGTTTTCTTTTCTACAGGTGACAAAGGTGAACTTGGCCCATTTGGTCCTAAGGGGCCCCCAGGTAAGACGGGTGTGCCAGGACCCCCGGGGCCTCCTGGCCTGGATGGCATGCCAGGGATTGATGGACTACCTGGTATGTCATTTGGTCACTTCTTGTTTCAGCTTCGGCCTAATAACTCCTTGGTGCACACAGAAACATACCCTTTGTGTTGGGGTGCTACAGTAAATATAAATTGTCAATGCAAGATGATAACCAACCTAGATTTTCTGCCGAAATAGATTCCACTTGGTGTAAAGGGGCAATAGCTGTGGAAATTATAAGAATGGAAAATCAGTGGTGACACGGATAGCACGATCCTGGATAGAGTTGGGTTGGTAATTGGCATCTGAGAGCACAACTGCATCTTTGAAATGATAATGATGCTGATTCGATGTACTGTCCAACGTGTTCTAAAGAATATTTACATGTCGCGTTTTGTCTCGTATTCTTTTTCTCGGTAACTGTTAAGGACTGTTGGCATCCCTCGTGATAGAAAAGGCAATGTTATTGAAACGCGATTTACCTTTTAGACAACCATATGAATCTATGACATCATCTATACACAGAAGAACAACTTGATGGACGCTAAGGGAACATATGATTACATGCATAACCTGTTAACTAAAAACATCCTCGTGAGCCATTACTTGATCCCAAAGGCCGAGAGACTAGGATGTAGTCCCTCACCAACACGGCTGTCAACACCAACACTTTCATCAGGAAATTCATATCAGGAACCGATTTGTTTTTCTTCTTTTCAATTTGACGTATGTGATAGAACATTTGAAACACGATATTCTTGGCGTGTTCATTCCTCGGACGTCGGATTTTTTGTATCATTTCGTGGAGCCAGGGCCAACTATTGATCAACTAGTCGCTGATGACGAAATGCAAAACTTAATTTCCAGAGAGCTGCACGTTGGGGCTTTGTTTTTATTACTTCAAGGGATGCTACAACACGCAACAGATTCCTGTGGTAGCCCTGTACCTCGCACAATGGCAGTGTAAGACACAATTGCCGTTTGTCTGGAGATATATTGTTATATCATGCCTTATCCCGGCGTCTGTTCCATTGATTTTCATCCAAAGTCACCCTTTGTTAAGGCATCTCTTTCCAGTGGGGAAATTGATGTGGAATGGCTTTATAAGCGAAGGGTTGCAGGTACAACGTCGTTATTAACTGTAGCTGGACACTTGATCTTGAGGTTGCAATTAGTTTGAAAACTGTTTCTTCTGCAATATTGCCTTTTGTGTGCATTATCAATAGAAAGCTGCTGAAATAGTCATAGACATATAGGATAGAATTTCATGACCTTACTATAAATCTTTTCTATAACAAGCTCATAAAAAATGTCTGTATGCATAATTGATAGATAGACGGCTGTCTAAAGCTACTCCGTGTGTTCTTACAACCTTAATTTAATATTTGTTTAGGGCAAAAGTAAGCTGATTGTGACAAAAACCGTTTTAAACAGTGCAACATTATTTAAAAATAGAAATAATGAAATTATTATTTGTTTCAGTTGCGGATGTCTGTAGATATTTCCAGACAAATGGTCATTTTCTATCTTTTGTTCCACTTATACAACCTTTGTATGTATCGATTATTTTAATAGGTGTTCCGGGAGTTAAGGGAATGAAGGGGAATAAAGGAGGACGAGGACTGCTGGGATTCCCCGGCAAGAAAGGACCAATGGGTAGGCACAGTTAGTAATCAATACAACACCTTCATTTATGTATTGCACGCGTGAGATATTAAGAAAATAATCCATTGAAAAAATGCATACAATTCACCCGCATTGTAAATAAAACGTCCATATATGGCCCCACGTTCTTCATGAAAATATGTTATCTTTTGTTCAAATCTCAGATTCAAATTCAATGCAGCCAATCATATGATAAGTAGAGTTAGTTGTCGCTGGGTAAATATTCTAACTGAACGCTAATGGTCGGTTGTAACATGAAAGGGAAATAACAATTATTTGTCTTAGAGGAAATGTAATCTTCTTGTGTTTGAAGTGCCTGGAGGAAATCAGGGATAGGAACACCGCTGTGGTACCAATCCATCTTCAAAGTTTCACGGGTCACGATGCTACTGAAAAAAAATGTTATTCTGATGTGTGATATTTACTTAATTATTTAACCACTTTTGTAAGCGCCCTTGTGAACAAGTATTTCATCAAAGAGAATGCTAACTGTAACTCGTCAGTGAAAATTAAGCACAGGGGAAAAAACGTCCGACACCTGCTAGATTTGAAAAAGGAAATATGTTTTTGGCCGATTTGGGATTTGAATAAAACATGCCACTGACAGAGAGCAGTCATCTCGGCGGGGAGGTTTCCGCAATCCGAGATTCACGCGTATTTATATGCCCTTTTAGCTTTTTTCTTTGACAGTTTCATCCTGATCATTACGACTTGGTGACCAGTTCCTTACACAGTTAACAACCTGGTGAATTAGAAATGACATCATTTGCCGAAATACAATGCATTCAGGGTTATGTGTCATATGCTTTGTAATTGCATATATGCATTTATCATATAATGGGTAGGTTTCTCGGCAGGATAAAGCCAACAGATAAAAACGATATCCGTTTGGGTTATATGCGGATAGAGATGCAAATATCAAAGGTCAAGTAGGACTACTTTCACTGTTTATAAACAAATATGGCGTTTAGTGGATAAACCACAGGGATAATTGCTATCATTATCAAAAGAACAGTCTAATATACTGAAAATCAGTGTCTAACTGTGACGTAGCTAAGGCATTTTATAAGTTTTGGCAACTTTGGAGGTATAAATTTCGAAACAATTTTGCGAGGGCACGAGGCCTAGCTAAGCGGGATCAGTAGCCATATCTGTGTTTGTAGACCTCTGCGGCTTGAAACCTTCTCCACAAATTAAAATAGTTGGATTTTGCCGAATTATGCTTGTCTTGTTACATTGTTTCGTTTTGTCGCTGTGTGTACATCTGACTACACTGCTTAACGTTATAACAGGACAGGCCGACTGTCAACAACGCCTGAACGTGGCCTTGACGTCTCATAGATTAGGGTTAGAGTAGCTTCCCTTTGACAAAGGGCAGTTACTCTAGCGGACAGACCGATGGATTGCCGCGAAAGGCAATTAATAACAACTGTTGTTTTGCGTATATGTTTCCTCGCCACTGAATAAGAAACAGATTTCAGTTGGAACTATATTGGCTACTGTCACTGTCCGACTGACACATCACTTACCCTGTGACGAAATAAATATTAATGCGCGCATTCCAGGAAAACTCGTAATGTTTCGGTAATGTTTGTGAGAGTGGGAAAGCGATTTTAAAGAATTAAGGAATGACATTATATGATAAAGAGGTTAACACGCTTGTGTGTTTGAGGATGGTAAATATCCTGTATGAGGAATAAACACTATGTATTTAGCTCGCCAAGGCTCGCTAAATACAATGTTTATTCCTAATGCAGGATATTTACCATCCCCAAACACACTCGCGTGATAACCTCTATATATGTACGAATGTATATGGGTAGTTGGTAATTATGTTTGTACTTTGCATGTAGGTTTAGATGGGCCCAAAGGACCACCAGGACCGATGGGGCCGCCTGGAAAGGATGGGCTGGATGGATATCATGGACAGTCAGGTGAGGATCGCGCCGCATACATGTTCCCATCATAAACTACCAATAGCCCTGGGAAATATATGTACGCTTATGGCAATACATGTATTATGTATCACTTCCTCAGGAAAACAGTGAGTGAGTGAGTGAGTGAGTGAGTGAGTATGGTTTTACGCCGCTTTTAGCAATATTCCAGCAATATCACGGCGGGGGGCACCAGAAATGGGATTCACACATTGTACCCATGTCGGAAATCGAAACCGGGTCTTCGGCGTGACGAGCGAACGCTTTAACCACTAGGCTACCCGACCGCCCCTCATCAGGAAAAGAAGAATCAAGGTTTTCCATTTTGATTTTATGGTCTTGGAAGATTCTTTATCGACACATTGGTAAATCAACTTGTCTCGAACAAAGGATAACTCGATGCATTGTCCATGTTCCATGGGTCTCCATGTTAGTCGGGTCTCATAGTGGTTTTCTTCTTATGTTCTACGTTGGTTCAAGGTTTAGGTATTCAGTGAGATTTATGTTTTGACCATTTTACTGAAATATTCACGCTCATGTAATTATCGCTTTGTTTCCTTACGATTTCAGTATGAATCGTATACACGAAGACACATGTGTGTCTATCTTTTTAAAATTTTGCGGTGGGGTAGCTTAGTGGTTAAAGCGTTCGCTCGTCACGGCGAAGTCCCGGGTTCGATTCCCAACATGGGTACAATGTGTGAATCCCATCTCTGGTGTCCCCCGCCGTGATATTGCTTGAATATTGTTAAAAGCGGCGTAAAACCATACTCACTCACTCATAATATCTATCATCCTTGTGTTTAGTCTGGGTAAGGCTCTGTGTTTGGCCATGATACACAACATGTTTATGTAGCGTGAAGACATTGATCAGATAGACAGAACATGCAGTGCCTTCTTGGGGAATTCGAATGAATAGTAGACTGTTTATTAGTAGCATCTTATATAAAACCTTTGTACGGGCATATTATTTACCGTTAACAAAGACATTAAATCACGAGCGCATTCCTCGGTTCTTAGCCTTAAACTACATTCATGCCAATGCCAATAAAGGATTATTCCGGTCCGATATCGATTAGACTTTGTACTAAGTACTGAATTATCCAGTACATACATTGCAATCACTATGCTGATGCACACACAGTCCTTCCAACGCGGTCTTAAACCCTTCCGAGAATACTGAAACTGATGGCGCTTTTACCGTTAGAAGTAGGCTGCACTGAAGTGACTTGCCTTGAGGAAGCCAGAGCCCCGGGCAGTTTTTGTTCGTTTATGTGGATTCACTGAGAAAGTGGAGTGGTCATATAACTTTAAACAAACTCTAGAGTATTGGCTCTTACGTTCATTCTTACATAGGAGAAGAGCTAGACACAGTATTGATTTGCAGTGTTTGAAAATTAGATTTATTAGAATAATAATTTGCTTGTTATGTGGCAGTTTGTGGCTTGTCGATCATATGTTTCTTTAGTGTTCGTGTTGATTCGGCATACCTACGACGAGAATGATATGTCCCTCAAAACACACGAGAAACTTGGAATAGACAATTAGGGAGACTAAAGCATCACAGTCTGGTGTCTCTTTCCCGCCTAAGTCTAGATATTGTAATTGTAATAGTGACCTGTGTCACAATGTGAGACACTGTCTAATGAACTGATCGATTGGTGTTCATAATAAAATTTGAGTTTACATTCACACAACGTGAATGATTTCAATGGAACTTGCTGGGTTTTCCCAATAGCCCGGGCCTAGTTTCATTGAAAACAAATAAGGTTTTAGGGTACTGACGAAAATTGACACAAGGAAAATAAAACGAGGAACAACAGATCATTTAACATGAGTGCGTAGTGTTTTAAAAGCCATAAAAAGACTCTGATCGTTGCCACAGGCGACAGATTATGTATCAAATATATATAAAACCGCATATATAAAAACGATGCGAACTCCTGAAGTATTTTTTCTGATAATGTTACATAATGTCTAGATGTGACACAATACACGTCCGTCTATCTGTCTCAAATGATTTTCCTTTTTAAATGTTCATGATGCATTTCTTCTAAATTTTAATAATCGAAAATCTTTCGCGAACAACTCAAACACAAAATATTGATTTCTTGAAGTCTTACCCAAGCTACGGGACAACGTTTGTCTCACAGCAACAGTTTGGATTTGTGCCTACATTTTAGGCTTCATTGCCTTTGTACTTCATAAAGAAATGTCAGAGAGCAGACAAGCGGATTTCTGATTAAAATATCTCGTTAGTAATGGTTCAGTCAATATTGGATTGGACTCCGACTCCAAAGTCAGCCTGCTTAGGTTTCTCCGATTATTGAAAAAAACTATACACACAGTACTTATTGCAATTCGCCTTTCAGAAACTGCATCGTGATTTCTTCAAACTATGAAACATTTAAGGTGATGTACTGTCTGTTCGATTTGTCAGTCGATATGAAGTTTAAACTGTTTTGTCCCTCTGTCCACACTGGAACTGAATTCAAATTGCAATACAGTTTTTATTATAAGAAGTACGGTAGTTTATATGAATAGATCCTTGGGCCATAAACCAACTGTGTTTTCAATGTAGGAAAAGCTTACCTGTAGATTTAACCGCGCTCTATTGAATTTGGAACCGAACGTGCAGCAACAGTACTTCTCTGTAAATACTTTCGTCTGCGGTCATGGGGTCCTCAAACCTCAAATCTGTTTTAGTCGGAGATGGTAATTGTGATTTGAAACCTCTGATTGACCAAACAGAATCAAGTTTAGATAAGTAGTGCTTGTACAGACGGCATATTATAGTGGTAGTGATAAGTACAGACCAAATATATAATTGTACTTTCGTGTGTGATGAATCCTAACTAGGTTTGAAAAAAATGTTAGTGAACATATTCCTTGCACATAAGACTGGTGAAAATACTGTATTTTAATAGACTGAACGGTAACCGTACAGCTAACGTGTGATTATATTCTAATCTTGTGACATTTGCGTGCCATATTAATTTCTAACGTTCCATGCAAATTCATCTTATTGTTAAAGATTTCACATTGTTAATCTACATCCTTCTGAAATAACATCTAAATTTAGAAAAGAAAGGTTTGTGTACTATTAAACTATGTGCAAACAGTCAAGAGACATTGTTATTTGCACAGTTCACATAATTTTAACAAATAACATACATATGTGTCCATTCTTATCAATATTAAGGCTTAACCTTTTAAAGAAATATGTCTTGGAATAAGCACTTTAATAGTGTATTGTGCAATCCAAAAGGTCGTTATTCGGTATTTTAAGAAGTTCTATCAATACTGAATCCTATGCCATATGATGTTTTACGGTGTCTGAGAGCAAAGAACTGCCAATGTTATTGGAGGGCCTGGATTGAAGTTAGGTTGCAAGTCTTTTCTTGGTGTTAAGACGTCTACTTCAAATCATGTTGTTTGTAGCAATGCCTAATATATCCACTTCATATTTAATGATTGTCTTTCATGCAATGCAATAACTCATAAATTGCATTTTGCTGCCCTGTGACCCATGCTGAATGATGATGATGATGATGATGATGATGATGGTGATGTCATTATAAGACAGCGGTATGATGACATCATTGAAATTATCCCTCTAGACATGTTAGCCAAATGTGATTGTCAGTTAGGAATATATGAGTATATGTGCCCTCAAAATAATATAAATGGATGATATACGAATGTACATTTACCAGGGTTGCCTGGTCGAAACGGAACAGACGGTAAACCAGGCAGGAAGGGAAGAAAGGGAGATGATGGTTTGAACGGAACGCCTGGCACTAGGGGGATGAGTGGAGTCCCGGGGGTACCAGGACTTAAAGGAACGAAAGGAGACCAAGGACAGATGGGTTGGCAGGGCCCTCCCGGAGTGTGTACATGTGAGTGTCAAAACGAATTTAACACTATATAATAAACAGCTTTAAGATCGATGTATATGGATACACACGTTATCATGGAATGTGTTATTCAATGTCTCGTCACGATATGGCTGAGATACTGCCCATGTGACCATTATTTCCTTCTCACTCACTACTCGTTATTTAGTGTTTGTACTCACTAAAAACCATATATAAGCCACTATTATGCTGGAATGATGCCGATGCCACGTTAAACTCACTTTCTCATGCTATGTGTTCACCGGATATCCACCAAACTCCCATTTTAATTTAATAATGTTACCTTGTCAGTCCAATATCATGGACAAAAATTAGTGAGTCTTTTCTTTGTAAAACAACCATACATCGTTAATATGTTAAAAATGATATAACTTGCTCATTCTCTCTTCTTTTATCTAGGTTTACCCGAAGAGAACTCTGACCGACTACAAAGACTGGGATACCCATCATACCGAGGCATGTGTAAAATTTCATATCCTCCCACACCTGTCTGTTCGGCCATCAGTAAACTTGTATTCAAACCTTGTAGAGTTCAGACAATGTTGATCGATTTCGGTCACTGCAAAAAAGAGCTTTGTAAAACCACAGTGGAATATGTTTAACTGATCGGACGAACAAAAAATAATGTTAAGCAACGCATTAACTGTATTAAAATTGGGGTAATCTGCAGATCACAATGCGGTAATGCAGTATTGTCCCTTGTGAACTCATTCCTTCAAGCAAATGTTCATCGTAGGTTAATCATCGTAACAACACCTAGCCGTAAAATATGCCTCTCGGGGGACGTCTCTCGTCTCCCTTTATGCCTGTGTAGAGCGTCAGCTTTACGTATTCCATGAATTGTTCACAGAGAATGTGTTATCGGGCCCAAGGGGTCCTCCCGGACAGAAAGGAAGCAAAGGTGATTCAGGGAGTTGTGAGGGTAAGCCCCCTACATGACAATTAACCGCCGCCATGGACTTCCATGCATTATACATTGGACATCATAAAACAGCCTTTCAATGCCTTGGACGAAGATATTAAGCAAAATATTTCGTTAAGGAAATTTGTTATTTGTTATTATACTTGTTAACTCGCTGATGAGCGTTCGTCATTACGCTTGCCAACATAACTAAATTTCTTTTTTTAATTTCGATCTTCATTTTGAAAATCATTAAAAGATCGGTTGCTGACATGTTTCCTTCGTTATTACTCAATTTGTTCGACATCAGTCACGGACAAGTGATTTAGACAATGCCTTTACATTATAGCTCACTGCAATGAAAACGCTAGACGACCTAGAACGACAGCTATATTTATTAAAGGTATACTTGCATTTATTGCATGACACTATGAATCATTGCTTCTAGCATCCCATTTTCCCTCACCTTCCGCCACCCTCACAAGCATGGCCTACAATCTGACCAACATTTCATGGCACATATCCTTGACGTGGTCAGTGTCTCGTTCAGTAGACCAGCTAGACGATATGGGCCATCAAATATTGGTCTCCCTGTGACTCTGTCTCGCTTATACCTTTCTCTGCCACTTTTGTTTCCTTTCACTGATAGCATTTAGAAGGTCGTGTAGCTAGACATTACCCTGTCATCACCAAATCTATCGCCTTGAATTGGGTCTGAACGTATTTCTGTGGATAAATACTAGTCGTATATCTCCATGTTTTAGATGGGTTTATTTTGTCCTCTCACGCTGTTTCAATCGGTCTCTGTTGATTAATACGTTATTTACAGTGCCTTAGAAGATCTGAATTGATTGTTGCTTGTACCGATGATCGTAAGAATTCCACGTCTGCCGACCCTGTCTTTCGTACGTGACGTGGGGGTACTTCCTTGACGTACACTATACATAGTTGAGACAGCGCTTGTGTCAATAGAAAATAGCATTTGTTTTACACGTTCTTTGGATTAATTTTCCGTCGGATTTAAGGGTGGATGTACCACAGCTCGCTAATTGTTCTATCAACGAAAAGTAAACAGAACGTTAGTACCCTACTGTTCTTAAGGAACACATGAACACACTTTTCAACAACTGTACTGCAATCTACCGTTGCATGGCAACCTGTTGGTGAGCATTATTAGAAGTCCCTGGGGCTTGTATCTCTGGGGTTACATGTAAACGACCATCTGTTCTTACAGGAGCCAGAACCTCAAGCGTTGCCAGCAGCACGGGTCACGAACCAAGACTGAATATGATCATCATGACCTTAACATGCGTGTTTGTAAGTATTTAAACCAAGCAATGACTATTACTGGTGTACAGTATACACATTATTGGGGTCCATGGTTACGTATATTTTGTAAATAGTTATATTAAAATAAAATACAGTTAGCGTTTTGATAGAATCATGATTATTTTTTCATCATTTATACGTTTATGTAAACAGGTTTAATGTTATCCATAGCTGTTTCATTCTTTGCGAGATCCTCTAGACAATTGACTTCAAATCAGTCCATTATCGTGACTAATAAAATATAAATGTCAAATGAGGATTTTTACTCTTATATTAGCACTTAATAATAAAGATCATGACAAAAATCCTTTTATTACCGGATGACCTTTATAAATTGTTCAAAGCTAAACGGTAGCCTTTCGATCTACAACATAATTGAAACCGGCACATTTGAATACTTTTCAAGGCGTTTAAATAAGACTTACATTTATGAAAATATATATACGGATGACACTGGGTGTTCGCTGACCTGATGCATATGTCTTGCATATTTGCTGGTCGACGTCATGGAGCAGAAAACGGTAACGTCAGGGTTGGACTTACATTACTATAATATATTTTCATTATTGTATGTCGAGGTCGTAAATGTTTGTTTCAAAATCAGTCATTTGTCAACTGCAGGTTATTTATCTTGATAAGCATATCATACTAATACTTTACGACACTCGATGGGCAGATGGTTAAAGTGCTGGTTCGTAATGCCGAAAACAGAATACTTTTATGATGTTTATTCCATATGCGTTCTGTATGTCGTCTTAACATACGGCCACAAAGGGAATGTCCTGTTTCTCATCACCATTCAAACCCATGGCTTTGATCCCACCCTATATGTTTCTTAGATTTAATTCACCTGCTAAATTTGTTTCCGGTTCCGCATTTTCTTTTCGGAAGTTTCACTTTTCGTTGTAACACATCCCGACAACAAGTAATATAACCCGTGAGTTTACAGCCAGGGACTTCCACACGAAATACAATATGTTCGGTGGGTTTTTTATCAGGTGAACAATTGCTTTGCCTTTCCATGTGTTTGTGACGTGTACCACCGGTGGGACAGGATACTTTTAGCGAACACCTAATAGTGGTTCATAAACACATGTTCATGATATACACATGTAGAAGGAATCGTACAATTAACTTTGATTTTAATGGATATTTTTCGTGATTTTTGAATATTGTTTTGTCGCTTTTATTTACATCAATGTATCCATTTAGTACAAATGTCAATTTCAGGTATGAGTGTTTGGGTATTCGAAATATAAACTAAAAAAACTTCGACATACCTGCCCATTAAAAAATGATAAGTGATAAGAAACAATAATGTTTTCTGTGACCTAATATCGTGAACTGTTTATGCTTATACACCTTTCCTGCAGGTTCTGACAACAATATCGACACTAGTAGCAGTACCATTCAGCATCCAACACCACCTGGGATGATGACAGAGCGATACTGTTGTTATACATGTAGAACGTGATGCTATCAGAAATTGTGAAAAACAAAGTGTAGACATTAGGGTGCCTATAACATGTGTTTTTCAGGTACGTGTCATTTAGTTTTAGTAATGACAGGTATGAGCATTCTATGCAACATAGAATATGTAGTGTACTGACATATGAACAGTACATGACGCTATAGGCTGATGCGTAGTTGGCCGAAGACTTCCATACAGATGGCCTGTTTATGTCACGAGCATGAACGCATGTACAGATTCTGCTTCAAGAAGGATATAAATTGTATGAATCAAATTAATCCTTTGGACGAAATGTCATGGATGAAACATTGACAGGAATATGCTGTGTTGGGGAATCACCGAAAGAGTAAGCTCAACTTCTTCTCGTTTTCAGTGTACCTGTGATGAAACGTACCATATTCCGTGTCACTGTCCATATTGTGTGTACGTATGTTATCAAGTTCAACAGTCTGTGAATAGCCATGTTAATATACATTAACAACATCTTCTTAACATGTATTGGATTACACTACATTCTAGCATTGTATAATTACATAGATTTGGTTTCTTTTGTATTACAGAAATAATCAATCTGTAATACGAAGGTGTGTAAGTTTACGTCATTTTGAAGGGTAAGGACAAAATAAAAACCTAATTTTATCAAATAACTAATCTGATTTCATATGGTGTCTAACGGTTGGTGTATTGTGTTTCAATATGCATGACTTACAATTTGCTAAAATGGGGTGATTCTCATTAGTGTCATCTTGTTGAGTGTTACTGTATATAGATGTGAATATACAATGCATAAGTTGAAATACCATCCTGGAAATCCTACTTGAACTTGTCATTAGTCCTTACTGAAATTACAGTTCGATAGACAATTCTAGCCAGGAATAAGTATTTTAAGTAATACAAGTTCCCCGTTCCTGGATATAATGAATTATGTTGCTGTTTACCCTAGTATTAAATGCATATACCATTGTTTTTATATTAGTACGTTATATTTGAATTTTTAATGATTTGTTACATATATTTAAAGAGAAGTTCATGAGTTTTGTTTTGCTCAAAAGTCATTAAATATGTTGTTATATCATGTATATGATATGACTGATATTACCGTTTCATTGTCATTTGGCACATGATGATCATACGATTAACAACGTTATATTGATTGTCATACGAGTAGCAAATCAAATAATGTGAAACTGACATATAATGCTTATGAAATGATACGAAATATGACATGACACTTAAGAAGGGTATAATATTTGGCGAGACGTATCACTCAAAAAAATATAAATTGATATAGGACATTTGTTATGTAATTGTGAAGAATCTGACATGGCATACATGGGGTCTGAAATGACATGACATTACAGCAACATCAAAAGAGTTATACAAATCTGTTTTGTAAATGTATGGCATTAAGCTTGATCAAAACAAACACACGGTAAAACAAGCAGGATGGTCATTAGTTTAAGCCTCTCTGTATAAAACTCAGCTTCTGAAGTATCGTTTACTAACGTTTGCATAGAAGTAGTCATGTGATACAACCTGTAAATTTATTTGTTAGGTGGAATTAATGCGAATATTTTGAATGTGAGCACTTGTTAATGGTCTCAAGATGTATTGGTTGTCTCAATGTTTTAACTAAAGCGTACCAGGCATATTGTGATGAATATACATATTATCGCTCAACAGAACAATTTGTAACAATGCGTTGATACGCCATATCAACCATGAATTTATTTTGTCGTTACCGTTTATGCGGTCGCAATTCCGGTGTTGCTGAGATGCCATGCCCCCTGCTTATTTCAAACGTCACATCAAGGCAGTTAAAATAAAACATAAATAACGTTTATCTGGAAAGCTGAATCAAATTTATCCTCACGTAGATTTATGGTTTCTTTTCATACCTTTATCGAATCATTGTTACAGTTTGTTCTGCCACGTGTGTCAGTATATATATTCATTTCACTACTGTTTTTCACGAACGGTGTGTGACATTTACTGTGAATTATGTTCCTGATTAGTTTTATGTTTAGACCGGTAGACAGAATGTCAGAATTGCAAAGAACGATGGCTTCCACGGGCGAGATCTTGTAGAAATGCTACCTTTCATGAAGAGAGTTTGTATATTTTTGTATAAACATTGGGAGGTTGTGTGAAAGGTTGTGACTCGTAACGGAACACCGTGTCAATGGCTGTAACTCATTGTTCATATGCCTTACTGTTCAATTGATGTTTACTTTTTTATTTGAATAAAGGACTCCTCTAAGGTGGTAGAGTTCTTATCTTAGCTACATATACAGGTCAATGCAACAGAGATATAATATCTCCGTCACTTACACAAAATCGAGGAAGCGACGAAGTTGTATATGTTCACGTATGAAACATGCATGGTCATGATGCCACGGTAAAAGTTGCATATGGATACGTACATTGCTTCATTCATGAGGAAAAGTATCTCTATTCATATTTATTCATTAATAACTGAACCTTAACAGCGATTGTGATTATGAAAATGTATTGATGCAAAAGCCGGTAAGGTTGTTCTATGACACAAAAATTGAAACATGTCATTACATTTGCGCTGACAACTAGCATGTCTGACGTAAACATGGCTTTTAAAAGATCTACAAGATCTGACAAGAAACAATAACAATGTATGTCCCTTATAACAAGTAAATTCCAATTCACGCCCCACTCAAAAAGGGAATGTAATTATGTACCTCCCTCTCAAAACTGAATGGTATAAAGTCCATCAATCTGAAAAATGATTGCAATAATGTACGCCTCACGCAAGCGTGAATGCAATTACGTAAGTCCTTCCCAAAAGGGAAGTGATAATGAAATGTACGCCCCTTTGAAAAGGGAATGTAATAATGTAAACCCTTCTCAGTTGTGAATGGAATAATGTACGTCCATCTCAAAAGTGAATGCAATAATGTACGTATCTCGAAAACGTGAATGTAACAATGAAAGTCCCTCTCAAACGGGAATGTAATACGAGGGCTGGTCAAAAGGTTCTGAGCCTGACTAACATTCAACTATTGGCCATAAAAATAGTTCATTGTTTGAGTAGTTCATTGCAAGTGTATTTGGTCTGTTGGGGTTTGTATATTAGTGACAGCCAGTTTAACGTCATAAGGGTCCAAATGGACACAGAAATCGAAAAGAACGGGTACCGAGAACACTTTTGTCACATTAGAGAAAAGTACTCCCCGCGAAATTCATGACCGCATATCACAAGTGCATGGGGATACGTGCCGTAGCTAATCCACTGTTAAAACGTTGGGTAGCTATGTTTAAGACTGGGAGAACAAGCATTGAACGTCTCTCATCTTCCATCAATGAAGATCCAATCATGGATCCATTGAACCTATTATTCATGAATAATTACAGATGAATAAGATATCTGTTTGTTGGGTGCCAAAAAAAAGAAAGAACTGGCATTGACAGAGAACATTTAGAGCTAATTGATGAGGATTTCGTCAAATTTAAATAGAGATCATCGGTGCCTACTGTGCTGATTTGCTCCATCGACTGAGAGATTCCATCAAAGAAAAGCGGCGAGGAATGCTGACTGCTGGAGTTCTACTATTTCATGACAATGCCTCTACCCACACCTCTGTACTTGCAAAGCCTGTTGTGCTGATTCGAAGAGCTTCTTCATAATCAATACTCGCCAGACCTGGCACCAAGTGATTTCCATCATATTCCTAAACTGAAAGAACTCCTTCATGGGATGCACTATGACAACAACGATGACCGCAAAGCTGCCGTGAATGGTTTTTTTCAGGGTGGTTTCAGAATACTTCTTCCTACCTTGAATTGAAAAGCTTCACTAACGATATGAGAAGTGTATTGAAAAAGGCGTCTAAACCCTTCCATATCCAATAGAAATCTCTGCATTAAGTAGAGTCGATTGTACGATTCCGACTATATCATGAGCATGTGTTTATGAATCACTATCAAACAGTAATGATACCAGGTGTTCGCGAAACCTCCCCCGTCGGTGGCACCCGTCACAAACAGAGATATTTTGTTGAAAAATAACATTAAAAGCACTTTCACAATTTGTTTTGTTTGTTAGGCTTTGAACCTGTTGACCAGCCCTCGTAATGTATGTCCCTCTCAAAAGTTAATGCAAACGTGAACGCCCCTCTCAAAGGGCAATGCAATAATGTACGCCCCACTCAAAGGTGAATGCAATAGTGTACGCCCCTCTCAAAGTCAATGCAATAATGTACGCCCCACTCAAAGGTGAATGCAATAGTGTACGCCCCTCTCGAAAGTCAATACAATAATGTACGCCCCACTCAAAGGTGAATGCAATAGTGTACGCCCCTCTCGAAAGCCAATGGTATAATGTACGCCCCTCTCAAACGCGAACGCAATTTTGTACGCCCCTCTCGAAAGTCAATGCTATAATGTACGCCCCTCTCAAACGCGAACGCAATTTTGTACGCCCCTCTCGAAAGTCAATGGTATAATGTACGCCCCTCTCAAACGCGAACGCAATTATGTACGCCCCTCTCGAAAGTCAATGCTATAATGTACGCCCCTCTCAAACGTGAATGCAATATTGTACGCCCCTCTAGAAAACCAATGCTATAATGTACGCCCCACTCAAACGTGAATGCAATATTGTACGCCCCTCTAGAAAGCCAATGCTATAATGTACGCCCCATTCAAACGTGAATGCAACATTGTACGCCCCTCTAGAGAGCCAATGTTATAATGTACGCCCCACTCAAATCAATGCAATAATGTACGTCCCTCTCAAAAGGGGAAGTAAAAATGTACACCCCTCTCAAAAGGTACAAAAATACAGGTCCCTTCTGAGGGCTGAAACAAAAATGTATGTCTTTCCAACTGGATTCCACATTAACGAAGGTCGCTCCTTGAAAGAAATACTTTCGCCATATTGCCGATATATTGCGAATAGTAGCGTACGCTTGTACACTGACCCTTCCACAAATACTACACAGTTGCTGTATTGTACTGTCGTCATTTTAAGATGTTCAGTTGATTAGAAACAATATAAAAGGCTGTCTTGGAATGTTTATCACACAAGCAATAATGTATCCCGTCGGTTGGATTGATGCAGGGCAGTGTGGGATGCAATAAAGGACACAATAAACATCCAAATTCTAAAAGTTTTATTAAACGATTTCAACTGCATATTATTTATACAACAGAGTGTTTACAATAACTTTCAACTATGAGCACTGCCTGTGAAACGTGATATGCCTATTGGCATGATAATTTGATACCGCTATATGAGCTAATCACATACCATGTTCTCCACAAGTGACTATAGGTATATAGCTAGTCATACAACGTAGGTAATTTACATGGACAGAAACGTATTGGTATGCTTTTCCTTTACAATATTGGGCTACTCTGGCAGAATGTAACCAGTTACTGATGCCCGGTGGCCACCGGTTTGCATATGTAACACAATAGCCACAAGACCTTTACATGTACATTGTAAATGGTTGATTTTTATTCATGATCATCCAACAATTTTTCAGTCCTGTTTCCATACTCTCTATTAAAATCACTGACAGGGTGATATTAATTAAATATCAGGTTACTTTAAACTGTGTAATCCGATAAACACAGCCACATCAGCTATCTACCTACAGTTCACAAAAGTCAAATATTCACGCCTAACTTCCGTCAAGCAAGCAACTTGGTTCACACACTGAATGGAAGTATCTAGTAACAAAGACGAACCGTATGTAATGGACGCCTGAACTCACTTACCATATACTATGTTACCGTCCATAATATGAACATAGCAGCAGTACAACGTTGTGTGTCTCGGGGGAGTTATGATATGAAGGTAACATTCACATACATTCGCATCAGTAAGGCATAAAAATGTTGATCCCCGTACCATGCTTCTGCTTTGCTTTGTACATCTCACAGCCAATACAAAGGTGGAATAGAGAACAAAACGAGTAAGCGAATATCAATTACCCCCACGCACAATGGTCAACAGCAAGAGCGAACTCTAGCACATAAGTAAACCTACCAACAGGAAACTAAACCCTAGCAAGAGTGAACCTTAGTCCGAAACTAAACCCTAGGAAGAATGACCAATAGTTCATACCTAAAGAGCAAAATCCTGGTCCATAACTAAACGCTAGCAAGAGTGACCTTTAGTCCATTACTTAACCCCAGCAAGAGAGAAAACCGGTCCATAATCAAACCCCAGCAACGAAGAAACCCTGACCAATAATTAATTCGTAGCAAGAGTGACCCTTAGTCCATACCTAAACCCTAGCAAGAGTGACCCTTAGTCCATAACTACAACTACATTGTAAAGCCTAGCAAGGGCGAACACAGGTCCTTAACTAAACCCTAGTAACAATGACCCTTAGTCCATAACTAAACCCTAGCAAAAGTGACCCTTAAACCATACCTTAACCCTTGCAAGAAGGGACACCGGACCTTAACTCAACCCTTGCAAAAACGCTAAATTTCATTTTCCAATTTTCTGCAGAGGCGTTCGCACCAGATATAATTTATCATGTCCATCAAATCTACACTCAATTCAAAAGATGAGGTAAATTTACTTATTACCTACACAAGGAAGTACCGATGTGACGCTTGACATAAATTCGTAGTTAGTGTATTATACACAAGCTAGGATAGACATACATATGCACAGGGGTTCTAAACATCTAAACACAACTATATTTCATTAGCTCTCACACGCAAGTAAGCATCACAACCCTCAGCTGTATTTATCACAATGTTTTCATCACCTTGTTAACATGTAACAACTCGACATGGGATACTGAAGACAACGTTAACGTACACATGTTCCACGCGGTGACAGAAAGAGATCGTCGTTCTAGCATACCTAGAGGGTCTATAAAACAAACCCGCATGCTACAAACATTAATATAAATTCATTGTTATACATACAAACAAACAAGGATTGTGTAGAAAAGAATCGCACATAATGACTGGGTATAAAAACAACAAGGATATCTATGTTGCAAATATTTCAGTCATTCAACGCATGTACAGTTTGGATCGTTATGGTTCTTTCAGACGAATCCCCAGTAATCCGGAAACCCCACATTGCGGACGATTAGTGTCAAAGGCTGTGGAAATGTCTGCATATATACATAGAGGCAGTTCTGTGACTTGATCCCATGTCGCGTCATACCAAAGACGTTTAAATGGTACTCGTTGTTACCTTTCCTGGCGCTCGGCATTAAGAGTATAAAACAAGGACTGGTCGGCTCGGAGTTTACTGTGTCCGAGGGGGGAGAGCATCCATGTTACACTCCAGCATGGTATTTCAGTGGGCTAGCACTAAATAACCAGCATTAGTCCGGGTTAGTAAAGCAGACACACACAGACACATTTACACAATCACACACGTACACATACACCTCTCTCTCTCTCTCTCGCTGTGTCTTTCTCTCTCTCTCTCTCTCTCTCACTCTCTCTCTCTCTCTCTCTCTCTCTCTCTCTCTCTCTTGCGCATGCAAGTCGATACAGGTGCAATAATCTTGCACGCGACGTTAAGCCCCATTTCACCTCACCCCACATAGGAAAAGGGCTCCATACTTATGATTCCTTAATAAGGACATTTGGCAATCCGGACACTGGGAAAAGACAGTCCGGATTAGCGGGGTTTAGCACTGTGTGGAAAGAAAGATATCACCATATCGATCACTGCAATCAACACACAATGTGAAACAAACAAATATACCTTAAAATAATAGTGTGCATAACATCATCCTAATATTCCTAATGCATCTCAGCACAATGACATGGTAATCTGATAATACGATAATGGATTGCACTGAGATAAGACACAATTTGCATATGCCGATACTTCAGCATTATACACTTATTAGGTCGCATAACATGCATAGCATGGAATCATGTTGTACTCTTTCCTAGCTGGTAACAAACGAATGATTGTCCCAAAAGGTGATGAAAACGAATAGATGAATAGCTGAAAAAGGGAATTTCGATAATACACCTTAACGGTACTACTGTGGCGTGTATGACGAAATACGCTCACTGCTCTACATAACGCTTAATACATGTTAAACACACCTGAAATACATACTGTGTGCATTAATGCAATGCACCATTCTGACCAAGCCATCACACAAAATCATTTCCAATTCCGCCTCGGCTAAGTGTTTCACATCTTTCACTGAATAAACAAGGCATTTAATGTACCCATGACGGATCCAAAATAATAAAAAGTCATGCAGGCATGAAAACAGACATGAGTTTGTGATTCATTTCCAAATTCCCTTCCCCTTCAATAGTTCATAATAATATGATCAGGGTAATGGTCTTTGGCGACACCATGAAACCACACATACACACACATCTGTGTAGCACACACATCATGCCTCATGTTATATTACTATTATCATTATCATGCTTAATTTGGCAAAATGCAACGGTCATAATATTTCTGATATTCGATCCAGAGGTGACTGTGGACATGTTCACAGATATGCAATGCTGTCGGCAAGTCGACAGTCATGTGTGGACGATCCCATCGCCTGCTGCAATGACATTGCGTAGGTTCATTTTAGCAACATGGGGTATTCAACCTGTTTGCCATTGTCCCAGCCGAAAATGCGTTGACGTTGCGGGTTGAAGGACACCATGTTATTATGTCCGTATGGGTTTATAAAACGTACATTAGCGTTCTTCCCCTTTTCTTTGTATATGTCAAACGCATAAACAACCTGCGTGATGGTTACGCTTGTATCTCGTATAAAGTACAAAACACCACATATCACAAAACTGTTACCATAGTAACCTGACCGCACACCCACATTGATTGACTTTGTTATTTTCAGTGTATTGGGGTTAAGCATTGCAATATGAACCAAAGAATCATCAGCGTCCTTTCCATAAACAACCCACAGTCCATTTTTGTCAACAGCAAAATCGTAATAATTCCGCTTGGAGGAATATAAATACATTTCATGTGAGTGTGCAGAGAATTTGATTGACCCGAGTTCTTTTATAATTTTCTGTCCAAGGTCAAACTTGACGATTTGGTTTCCTCCTCTTACATGGTAGTATAAGTAGCCGCTATACACCACGTGGCCGGTACCAAAGAACCTGGTTATTCCCAAGTCGGCGATGTCCATAGGATTATTATTCCGAAATGCATGATCATTCTGGTATTTGTATACCTTGTTCCCGGTATAGTTATACGTAACCCATATGGCGTTTGCATCAGCTGGGGTAGTCGGGGCGGTGTCATACATCCAAGCACCCCATTCGTGGGCTTTGTTTGATTTGAACAAAGGTTTACCAATTACTCGCAATGAACAACCTGAAAAAAACAAAAGAAGAGTTCCTTTGAACCAATACTTCATTATGTAGGTTACATTACCAAATGTAATCATGTTTAAGAGTAAATCTTATGTATCATATTGCAAAATATGTTTAACTTTAATCAAAACACTTGCATATACGCATCTTGAACAAAAAATGTTGATCAAATTTACCATTGAAATATCACTTCGTTACCAAACTCTATCACCATAGTCCGTAATAGCCGAGCATTTTTCGAAATGGAAGTCATAGTGAAATCCCATTATTTCGAACTCGATTAAGTCGATATGTCGATCTTCGCAAGAGTGTCCACCAGCCCTTTCTAAGTCTAGTTTTTCGACCTTGTCATTTCAAGCCTACTTTTATGTGCTGAAACAGATTCGCTTGGGAGTGGACTATCGCACATATCTAAAAGTCCAATCAGAGAACGATTAGCAAAATCAGCATCCGGGTTCCGCTTATTCGAACAATTTAGCAAAGACAATATTTTCGAAGTCTTTCCAAGATTTCAATTAACTCGGCCAAACACTTAGTGCATTAAATATATTTGAGTTCAAACTTCATTGTATTTCAACTCGAACGACTGAACGCTTATTGCAGTGTCCAAGATGCAGTGCTATTTTTAGACGACAAATGCTGAGCGTTTCGTGTTACCGCGATGTCCAGTGTTACTTGATACTGTGTACTCCGTGAGCTTGTCACAGCGAAATGCGGCATCAATAAGTATCTTTACTGTAGCAATCTGTCATTTTGTATGTCTGTCAGGGATTAAATCTGGAATCTTTTCGTTATCTGATCGACCAGGTCGTCTGCTATCCTATTAATGGTAGTCGTCACCTTGAAGCCATTCGAAATAAAAACAGAGATCTGATTTGATATTGCGTTTTCAACGCAAGGGGCACAAGACGTGCTCTACATGGGGATCGACCAAGATAAGTAGGCTTGTAATGGCAAGTGTGAAGACTAGGCTTTGATATAGGCTAGTGGGCAAGTTCCTCGGAAAGATGATATTAAGTTTAAGATGGTGTTAGCTTCCGACAGAACACGTCATTGTTGTCTTATATCGAAACACACTGTGACGTTAATGTGGCTTGTTTTCGAAATTCTCTGGCACTTCCAAATAAAGAATTTATCTGTGTGTATGTGTATGTTTTTGTGTATGTTTGTGCGCGTGCGTGCGTGCGTGCGTGCGTGCGTGCGTGCGTGCGTGCGTGTGTGTGTGTTTTCCAGCTACATGTATATAACTGAGTTAGGACCAGACAATCCAGTGTTTGATATGGTGAACAACGATATATATATAATTTTTTCAAACAATCAAGCAAAGACAAATATTTTCTTTCCAAGATTTAAATCAACTCATCTAAGCACTTAGTACACGTAATACATTTGCGTGCAAATATATATGTAGCCAAAACATAACTTCATATCAGCAATTATCAAATGAATAGAAAACAAAACGCAGTAAGGCAGTGCATTGACATAGAAAACAGCAAAGACGACAACAAGGATGTTAAACATGCATGTTGTTAATGCATTATTAATCAGTGGATGGGGATTAGTATGCAGTGATAAAACGAACCCTCACATTACTAAATGCACTGGCACTTGCACTTTCTTTATAATAAATAATAATGGGGAGTCTTCACATTCTCCGAAATGTTCTTGGTGGATTTTACAAGGCAGCGCTTCCTGGGAGAAGTTCCATTCGCTGTCTGGGCTGCGTGTAGTGGGGAAAAGGGCCCTGAGCTGATGATGAGCCTAACCAGCATGACTGTGCCAGGATCACCCAAACCCTCTTTGCTGTATTTTCTATTTTAATCAGTACATAATAGTAGTTAAAATTCACTGCATGTCCTGAAAATAATTGCGGGTCACAAAAACATTAATTGTTGCTCCCTTTCAGGGAAATAATGTGTATGTGTTGATTCAGCAAAAAAACATGAACTGAAAGGCTACATATGCCTTAACGTAGGCTACAACAATAATACAACACATGTGTCCTACGTGAGTGTACTCAGCAGATGGGGAAGCACATGGTGGCGGGTTGAATGGAATGTAGCACCGGAGTTTCTGGAGGATCTAGCACCTGAAAATATTACATTTATAACTGTTATGGTAGTGTCCCCAATCCATACAAGACTTAGCGCATTTTGGCAAAACACAACCACAGTATTTTGAGGAAAGGGTTAGACACGACACACATGACTACCAAGTTACACAAGAATCTCAGCGTCATGTTGTTTGCAGGTAGGCGAGGCTTCCAAATTGATTCGAAGTACCTGTATGTTTAATCTCATTACTCACCTGTCAGTATTATTTCCGATTTAGAACGGATTTGCTATTATCAATGACACAACTGACGATAGCAAAATCACATACGTTTTACACCATACATGTATCTTTCAGATTACAAAAAGCAGAATACTGCACGGTTATGTGATCATTGAAATAACTTCATAGAATACCTGTGTCTGGCTCTTTCACACTACCTGTCAGGATAGCCATTAGCAGTGACAGATTTGCTGTCAGGGGATGTGTGATGCTGGTTGGGAAGATGTTGTGTTATAGTGCTCCGGTCAAATCTTCCTATTGTTGTTTTCTGGGTCTCCCCCACGAACAAACGTTCATTTCTTCACGATACCACAATATTTACAATGCCCACAGACGGGTCTTTTCCTTGTTGAGTCTCTCCCTCTCCTTTTCTACACGCGGGATTAAAGTCCTCACCGACGTGACGCCGACTTACATCAGGTGTTTTTTTGTCATCGCCATGATCGTGTGATTCTGCCCGATATGCACTGCCACGATCACGTATGATTATTTTTTACATGAATGTTATGAAAGCCACGGTAGTGAACGCTGAAGCGTTCGGATGCAATAAATTGCAAAAAGAATTGAATGTGCCATTTCGAAATACAGAAAGTTTTGATCACGTCTTCATTTCAGTGACCATAGAGAATGTGATATTTAACTTACATTGACATATGAGTGACGACGACATGCCTGCGACAGGCAAACCAGAAACTGATCATGAAAAACTGTAATGTATAGGGGATACCCAAGGGAGACAACCATGTTGTAATACAGTCCGTGTCTACTTATTCAGATTTCAGTTCAACTCGTGAAATAGTGCAAAGTACGCCGTGATTGTGATCATTAAACACAGCATGACGATGGACAGTATACATTTGGGTTGCTAAATGGACAGATATCGGAACCTATCTACCGGGCGATCCTGATAAGAAATATTTCCATAAACTCATATCTCGCCATATGGAACGTTATTTTCACACGGGGATCATGCTCAATTTGGCTTATGGAATTGTGGCGAGATTTGAAATTGTATCAATTATTCATTACCTTACCAGTGTCCGCGAGAAGGCTTTCAGCATCATGCATCATCACGGGTACATGCAATGTGACACTGGTATCTTCAGTCAAACACTTGTGCTTTGGAATATTAATGGACCAAGACCCAAGAATACAGTTGTCCTTTTCTTACAATGACTTTGACCTTGCACGACAGTTGCTTGTCATGGAAGGACACATCAACCTGGGTTTTTTTCGAAGTGTCATTTCATAGTGTCTTTTCTGTCATTTTACGATGATAGTGGGTTTTTTACTATCGCACCCATTTATTTGAATTGAAGTGCTTCGTGGATATCCTTAGGGGTGTTTCTGACCAAGTCGTGTAGGTACAATGTGTCAAATATAATACACATAAAACGTCAACGCCAGAGAAAATCAACAATCCGCCGAAAAGGATTCCACTGGGCAAGAAAGTGGTGACAATTATATGAATGGATCACTGAAAAGCAGTGATGACACCAACTGTTCGCGAAAAGGATAAGCATGTCCTGCCTACCATGGCACCGTTTCACACACAGACCATAGTCTCAGTGTCAAGTCAGTGTTGAGGTATATGAATTACAAGATTCGTAGCGTTACGACCCCTTTGTGAAACAGAGCATTGACCTTGGAGACTAACATGATCCAATCATGTTACATATTTATTTGCTGGATACTCAGTGTAGAGTTAATATTGAATTTGGATGCTGTTAGTTTGGAGACATACACATGCTAGTTAGTTAAGCATCTGAAGGGAAGTACTCACTACTTTTCCTTGGTGGCAATGATGGGATAGGCGTTGTGGTCGTTGTTGTTGCTGATATATATATGATTGGCAGAGGTTTTAATACGAGCATCACGAAGGATATAGGCATGATGAAGTGTAAGTGATAGCATTCTATCGAGATGACAGTGACGTTAGCAACATGAGTTAGTGGCTGTAAACATATCTTGCTATGAAATTACTAACCCGATGACCATAAACCAGTCCATAAAATGGTAAAATGGGTTCTCGTTGGTACTGTGTAGGTAGAATTACATTTTCAAGTAATTTTATATGAAATATGAGCACGGATGTCTAAAGGGCATAGCGCCACACGTTGTTTCGAGTTCATTGCAGCAGTCGTGATTAAAATAAGCTGATCGCTTGTTCGAATATCGGAACTGCCTCCATTATGAACTTTGTCTGTGAGCACCATACTAGTTCTGCATATCACCAGATTCTGCGTCTCTTCGGGCTTTCAACCCACATTAAGCGGATAGGCCGTGACGTCACTGTGAAAACCCAAATCACACACTCACTAATGCTTAATATCACTTCTGCAAATTTCACTCTGTGAAACTGCTCCAGCCAGTATAACTACTTGCCCTCTGCTTTCCACCTGCCTTTGCTAATACTAAACTTCCGATTCTTCTTTTCGTTCCAATTTCTAACACAGTTATCAGCATATACACATATTGAAGAAGAGTGTGATGATATAATTATTCTCACCTAACGTTGTCGCCGCTGTAGTTGATTTGCCGATGCATCGGGCTGAAAAAGAGATAAACGCGGTTTTAATATGTAATGCACAATAACGTAAAATAATGTAACAAAATTCAGTCAAGGCGTCGCTATTGGTTATAAGCAAACCTGTGTATTTTCTGGGCATTCCTTAGTTTCATAACTGCAACTAGGAAATATCTGGACTCAATATAGAGCACATACGCTGCAATATCAAAAAGAGGTGTCTGCAGGTGCTTTCAGAAGTAGAACAGCCCTTTCTCTGCCATTTCTACTCATCCTCTATAACCTTTACGTACCACCATGGCCTCCCAGTTAAAAACTATAACTTCCACTGCAACCAATGCAACAATTACTTAGTCTAAAGGTCCTCATGTCACAACATATTTACATTGGTAACCTTTATCCAAAGTCCAAAGTTTACACCACTGTTAATATGATATATGATCAAAATGTCTCTTTGAAATGTATCAATACTCAAAGATTGTGCCTTTGTACAAGTGAAAGTAGCTGACAATGACTAATACAACCTCGTTCCATGCTTCTGGGGGTAACTGAATCATGCCGCAGGGACAGAAATCTGAACGCTTATGTTTTACTTGTGTAAAATCTTCACAAAGCAGCGCCCGATCGTAGAAAGGGTATGTTTGTAGCAAGTTAGATGACAAATGCACTACTTACTTTTGAGAAAATGTAATCACAAACTAGAGATAATATAATGTCTCGTGACACTGACACACTTTTCCATGGCATCTGCCAAAATCTCAAGTGTCCATGTGGGATATCCTCTCATGTTAATAATTGTTGCGCCCTATTCAGTAGAACGTACCATGCTTGCCGTAAAAGGCGACTATGCTTGTCGTAAGAGGCGACCAACGGGATCGGGTGGTCAGGCTCGCTGACTTGGTTGATGCATGTCATCGATCCCAATTGCGTGGATCAATGCTCATGTTGTCAATCATTGGATTGTCTGGTCTAGACTCGATTTATTTACAGACCGCCGTCATATAGCTGGAATATTGCTGAGTGCGGCGTTAAACAACAAACAAACAAACACTAAAACGTACGATACATCTTTTCACAACTGCCTCAAATGTCACCTTGACCTTTGACACAAATGCAGTTGACATTTGGAATAGTAGAATTTGCTCAGATACATGCCTGAGGATATATATCAAGATCAAATGCATTTATCTGAGATTTGAATGTAAAATCCAGCCACAAGCATTTTATGTGTATCTTGTGACATTGACGGGTTTATTTTGCTCATGGTATGTGCAAGAATTTCGCATATTTCGAGCCACTTGAAAGAAGTCAATTGATGAATAATCACTGGATTTTAATGATTGCGTCGTTGACATTATAAAATATTTCCGACCAAATTTTAAAGCTTTCCCGTTTCACAGGGCTGCTAATTGTAAAATAATATTTTAAGTTTCGTTACAAAACATAATTAAGCATCTCACCCGGACATATACCATCACTGCCACGGCTTCCTTTAAATCCCTTTGGGCCCATTGGTCCTGCAAGATATATGTGCATTTAACATTCAGACATGCATAGATAAGTATGTAAACACAAAAGGACACTATCACATGAAAGAGAAAATTACTTTTTGTAAATTTGAAACTTCATTAGCTTTATCTCACATGTTGTCAGAGTGTCGATGTAATGTAAACTCTCAGACACATTGTGAAAGGTTCATATGATTAAACATTTGCTGTCAATGAAAAACACTAACCCATTTGACCAGGGTTCCCCTTCTCACCTGGAAAGGTAAACACAGAGAGTTAGCTGTATACACGGTATATTATTCGGTCTAAGGATTAAACATATGACACACCCTTGACGAAAAGAGATGACGTATTTATCAAAACGATGGGTGCATTACACACGAAGAAAGGAAGGGAATACCACCACTTCCAGACAATCTGCTAGGTCAATCACACCATGTGACCTTCAACTATTTCCTTAAATCCATCATTAATTTGATTGTTTTTATCAAGTAAAGCCTTGCAACATTCCTTGAACTATAGGTATATTTTATCTAGGCAATGAATAACACATAATGCTCCAGTGAACAGATTGCGATAAAAGCCTGACATTTAAATTTTTTGTTCATCATATGTTGAAAACATTTGTATGTTTCCAAAGTCTTGTATAACTGGTTTTCAGAAATACATCAATCACACCTTCCATTAATGATGCTTGCATGGATCTCATCAGTAAGTAGTAGTTAACATGTTTTTGTATTGTGATCGTGCTACGCTGCTCTCTTCAAAAACAATTATCTTGACATTGGCAGAAAGGCAATTATAATAAAACCTTGTTTATCAAAACTTCTCTAAGTGATGGATTTTGAGTGACATTCCAGTTAGCCAAACCCTGCTGTTCCCTGTCATCGAATCTAAGACCTGTGCTTTATTATAAATATTGAGGTGCCTGAAGCTGGAGCGACCCTGTTGTATAAAGTGTATTCATTAAATCCGGAGGTACCTGTTGTATAAAGGATACTTATTTAGTCTCGAGGTGCTTGAAGCTCGAGCGAAAATGTTGTATAAAGTGTATTTATGAAATCTCGAAGTGCTTGAAGCTCGAGGGATTCTTTTGCATACAGTGTATTTATTAAATCTCGAGGTGCGTGATGCTCGGGTAACCCTGTTGTCTAAAGTGTATTTGTTAAATCTCGAGGTGCGGGATGCTCTGGTAACCCTATTGTATGAAGTGTATTCATTCAATCTCGAAGTGCTTGAAACTCTGGTAACCCTGTTGTATAAAGTGTATTTGTTAAATCTCGAGGTGCGGGATGCTCGGGTAACCCTGTTGTATAAAGTGTATTTATCAAATCTCGAGGTGCTTGAAGCTCGGGTAACCCTGTTGCATAAAAGTGTATTCATTAAATCTCTAGGTGCGTGAAGCTCGAGCGACCCTGTGGTATAAAGTGTACATGTATTTATCAAATCTCGAGTGGCATAAAGCTTGGGAAGCCCTGTCGCATAAAGTGTATTTATTTAATCTCGAGATGCGTGAAGCTCAAGCGACCCTGTTGTATAAAGCGTATTTATCAAATCCGGAGGTGCGTGAAGCTCGACCGACCCTGTTGTATAAAGTGTATTTATTAAATCCGGAGGTGCGTGATGCTCCGGTAACCCTGTTGTATAAAGTGTATTTATTAAATCCGGAGGTGCGTGATGCTCCGGTAACCCTGTTGTATAAAGTGTATTTATCAAATCCGGAGGTGCGTGATGCTCCGGTAACCCTGTTGTATAAAGTGTATTTATCAAATCCGGAGGTGCGTGAAGCTCGAGCGACCCTATTATACTAAAGTGCACGAAGTTAGAACGTCCTTTTGTATGAAGTGTATTTATTAAAACTCAAGGTGCATAAAGCTCGAGCGTCCCTTTTAAAATCCGGAGGTGCTTGAAGTTCGATAGGCCTGTTGTATAAAGTGTATTTATTAAATCTCGAGGTGCATGAAGTCCGAGAAAAGTTTAATCAATGCTTCGAGGCTGATGGCACCGTTGTATAAAGTGTAATTATTTACTTGCGTACATTTAGGGGTGTAACTGTTCTGTACAGGCCCTAAGATACAAATACTCACTGAACAAGAGATTTTCGTCATTTTCGATAACTCGATATATCGTTATCGAGTTAACATTGTTATTACCAGAAATGTGTCAATCAAAAAGAATATTTAGACACTGACAGTGTCAAAACTCTCCCTGAAAGTATTTAAATTACAGAAATATACCACTTAGACTTATGACCTTGACTTTAACTGGATATAACACAATTGAAGGTTGAGGCAACCGAATAAGGTCAGCAGTGTAATCAGGTGAACTGAAATCAATAGGGAGGAGAATAACACCATCCGTTAGGATGTAATCTCTATTGACCTTGGCCTAAAACAGAACTCGAGCACTTTAACGATGTCATGTTTGTTACGAACTTTACTCAACAGTACTTCATAAATAGTGACCGTAACTTCACAGACGTGAGAAAGTGGATTTTGGCAATATCCTACATATACCACGGTGGCCTGTATATAATCAAAGAAGTGACGCGACACGATTACGCACAAACAGTCAATCAAATTGCATCACAAACCCACACAATTTAATCGGCTTTCTTAAAGGGCAAGTGTACACGCAAAAATCACTTTCTTTCTTTTTCTAAAGAAAACGCAATTTTAGAATTAGTTAATATCTGTGTTTGAAAATGTAAACTCATTTTTTTCACAGTGAAAGTAGGAAGCTCACAATAGTGTGAAAATGATATGCCGTTATGAGGCCTTCGTTTTTCGAGCTAAACAGGCCTGAGTTATCCCCCTTAGATTATGACGTAATTGGTGCCAATTCAACTGGATCCCTGTCTATTCTCAACGCAAAAGATATCAAGTACCAGTTTTCGGTAAAACAACATGGCCTACGACACACTCCGGCGCAGTGGTGACTCAGCATAACACTATGCTGGCTGGCATCTGAGACGCTAGAATCACACAGCTGTACCTACACCACGTGAAGCGGCTCTAACATAGCATGATGACGTCATAATGTTTATCAATTGGCACCAATGACGTCATATTGCAAGGGGCATAAGCCATGGTGTTTTTGTTATGAAAATAGAAAACTTGGTAAATGTGAAAAATATAAATCGTTTTAATGCAAAACATATGTTAATTAATTGTGATATTTTTATATTTTTGTCTATGACACTATTAGGTTAACACTTTTAATGTGGAAAAAGTACAAGAAAAATAGGTTCATTTCCGTGTGAACTTGCCCTTTAAGAAGCATGACGATACAGGGGACCAATTGAACCGCGCATTTTAATCATGTACATTAGCTGTGTATCTTATATAAGATCACTAAACATTTTTCATTTGTTTTTGCTATTCTCATAATTGTGTCTTTGACAGTTACGTAACATGACAGAGGCCATGCTCTAAATTTTTTATTATTTATAATAACGTTCATGGAAATGCTCTATGAAAATGAATCATTATGACATCCGAATCTGGTTTACGCGTATTCTGTAGGCAGTAAGGAAGGCTCAACCGCCTACCCATATGCATGTACATGATACACATGATATACTCGTTTAGTTGATGGTTTGACAAGAACTATGATTAATGTTTACCACGAGTTTGCATCTATTCACGGTGACCGTTGGTGAGGAAGAGACATCGTGGCAGATACGCGTTGTGCATATTCAGTGACGTCCATGTTCTGGCTAATACATAATGCATTGTTGCACTACCATGCTTTAAATTGAAGTATTTTCACCTATTGTGCCCACATTAGTTTTGCATAACCGAAGAATGCTTTCAACGCCATATTATAAGGAATAATAGAATGATATATGTCATGTCCTACCGACTTTAATTTTGGAGATATTTTGTATTTTATATATCTGGTCTAGGGATCTTGCTTAAAGCGACCGTATGGCGACAGCTGCTGTAACTACCTTACTAACTACCCAACTTTGGATATGCAGATATTTCGTCATCATGTTTGCAACTGATTTGTCCACAACTTAATATGCTGGGATACAGAGAGTCCCTTAATAATCCCAGCGAGTGAGCGAATGTCGTTTAAGGACCATGAAGCACTATTCAAGCTGATAGTATATAATCGAAGACATGTCACAGAGCCTGTCCATCCGATCCCAATTTTAGTATGATGTACTCTCAGAAACGGCAACCAACGTGTGGACTAGCTGCCACTGTAATGTGTACGCTATATGCACGTGTGAGGTATGTTATCCATAGAATACCTGGAGATCCCCTGTTCCCCGGCTGTCCAGCGTCGCCCTGGCGGCCAGGGCGCCCTCTCCGACCTGCAAACATGCATTCATGCAAGCACACATGCCGATAGGGAAACCATGCGTTAAGGGGAAGAACACGAATTTATAAAGTTGATTGACTACGGATACATGAATATGTGGGGTTAACCAGGGCTAAGTCTAACATGCAGGTCAGGTAGAAGGGTTAGGAACCTTTGGCGCGTATAGCAAGTCAGAAGGAATAGAAAACAAAATCTAGCATTAGAGTAAAATTAGGGTGAAAATATTGTAGAAGTAATATGAAAGTATAAATGGAAATTATTAAGGTATCTGATGAACTAAAGCGGTAGTCAACAAAGAGGATTAAAGCCGTATTCAAAAATATGTAATAAGTGAAATATGTAGTTGATAGTAAATACAATTTGGTTACTCACATGTGCATGATGCAGCCACACCTGTCCACCCCCTCACGCCTTGGTCCCCCTTTGTGCCCTTCAGGCCGGGCACTCCCGGGACGCCACCGCTTCCTCGTTCCCCATCCTTTCCCGGCTCACCTCTGTCCCCCTTTTTACCCCGCCTACCGGGGATCGCATCAGTGCCATTTACACCTGGTTCGCCTGCATAAAACAATGTAGAACATTAGCCCTGAATGAGTGTACAAGATTAATAATATAGACAAATATTAAGTTCTCTTAAACTATCCATTCTATTACATTAATCCTCATTCTGTGATTGCCATCAACTTGAATTTACTTGAATACAAATGCATTTAATTTAACATATGACTATATCAATCTGGTAACTTAATAGTTGCACAAGTCAAAGACCTGGTATGCTGCTACAGAGTCTGTTGTCCAATGTAACATTTTCTGGTTAAATGTCAACGGTCTATCCTTGCACAAATTAAAGATGACAGCTGACACTTGTCACCAAACGCTACCGTATATCAATAACTATTACATCTGCTGGCTAATGAAGCTGATATCTTGAAGCGAATGAAAGAAACTCAATACTAGTACGAATACCACTGAAATAGCCAAGATAAAGACCGCTATTGTTGTACCCAGTATGTAAAATGCACAATGACGAATGTAACGATAAACGTGAGATTCCAGCAACTTAGGATCTTAGCATCCATACAGTTGAAGTAAGCCACTACAAACGAGTACCTGTAGACTCAGTTCCATTAGCTATTACAATGCGCGTGGCACTAATTGCTCCTTGCTTCGTGACTGAATGAGTTGGGTTTAACGCCGCTTTGAACGGTATTTCAGTTAAATCACAGTGTGTGAGCTCGATGTGGGAGGAAAGCCCGTAGTGATGCAGGTCGTAGACGTTAACCACTTTGGGTATGGTGCTGACAAACCTAGAAACGTTATCAGTGTGAACTGAAGATTCGAACCAACAATCTGTTCAGCCAATTGGGGCGCCTTAGACGGCGGCCTTAGGTCCTTTCCTTGACGGGAAATGCCGAAACAGATTCCATTGGACGTAAAAGGCAAAAAAGAGGTGAAAATTATATAGATAGATCACTTAAACTCAGCGATGATGCCAGGTGTTCGTGATAGCAGCTAAATGTTGAGTTAAGGCAAATAAAGAATGTACTACTTATACACTTATATCATTACTTGTTACAACTCACCAGGTATCCCAGGTATTCCGTCTATGCCATCCTTCCCTGTTACGCCCCTGGGTCCAGAGGCGCCTTGTGGACCGACTGGACCTGGGAAAACAGGCACTGGTAAAATAGATCCGTCCCGTATTGTGATCTAGAGTATCAGTGCTTACTGAAAACTTGTAGACATCGTTCACCAAAGTAAAGGGTATACATCTGTATACTTGTAATTCAATATACGTGAAAACATCAACATTAGACAGTTGTATGTTATTGGTATGATTTAACTATACGAGGAAACCACGTTATTACGAACAGTATCGTTTCGATAAACTCGTCCGGATTAATAAATGTCAAATGTAACATTTTCTGGTTAAATGTCAACGGCCTGTCCTTGTACAAATTAAAGATGACAGCTGATCTTGTAACCAAACACGATCTTATATCAACATCTTGTTATGTATGAAACTCAATTGGAGTATGTATACGACTGTAACGGATTGAAATAGCCAAGATAAAGACCGGTATTGTTGTTCGTAAATGCAGAATGACGAATGCAATGATAAATGTGAGATTCCAGCAACTCCAAACAGTTGAAGTTAGCCACAAACAAACAAGTGTTATTTGAATGATTTTAGTACAGAAGGAAACCCCGTTATTCCGGACAGAATCGTTTCGATGAAATCGTTCGCATTAATAAAGATCCGGATTATGTTTGTTTGTTTGTTGTTTACGCAGCACTCAGCAATATTCCAGCGACATGACGGCGGTCTGTAAATAATCGCGTCTGGACCAGACAAGTCAGCAAGCAACTGAATCCGGATTATGGAATCCCGGGATATGTTCCTATTTTATAGGTGTTCATATATGTTCTTCCGGGTTTTCTTAACTATCTGGGTTCATACTACCGAGGTTTCGCCGTTTTTAATTAACTGCCGGCCAAAAGAATGTACACACTTGAAAATTTGATTTGACAGAAAAATTACAAACGTTATCAAAACGTTACTAGGCTAAAAACTTAAGGTCCAAAACACAATTATGATATCAAATACGTCATCGCCCGATTAACCATATCTTCTTTGTTTCATTAATTTCTTAGCACCATCAAACATGGACGTAAACTTTCTGTTGACCGTCATTTTATGTATAATTAAAGGCAAATGTTATTGTGACACACAAACAACTAACAGAATCAGTGTTAAACTTTTACTGCCGCGAATATGTATTGCCTCTTGCAAATTTCGTGAAATTCAAACAAAAACTGCTTGGTAGCGATTCTTCGACCATTTTAACACACTCTTTCGCTGGTTCAAATTCAAAAGATCATTCACAAGATTACCAATAAAAACGTCCAAGTCACAATAACTTTTGTTTGCCTCGAAGTATTGTTAGTTAACAGTGTGGTAATGATATCACAGCGGTCTAAGTAAACATGCATGGTATATTTCTGGGTTGTCATGCATGGATGTTTGATATTCGTGATGGCATAAATCATTCAGCTTCAGTTATCTGTGTCCAGGTATCCAGTGTGTTGTCAGTGTAAATAAACCTGCCTACCCTGATTTCATGCCCAGTTGTACTGAACCCACATAATCTGTTCGGTAAAGGTTATTTAACACAAATGAGGCAGCAGGCATGGAATTGGGCCAAGTTTGCTTGGGTTTGTTGTCGACTGGCCCGGTTTTCAGTTGTACGACAAATGAAAGCTACTATTTTTAATAGAAACAAGATCGTGATTGGATGACTGACTCAGTATTTAACGAAGCAAATATAACCGGTAACCTGACTCACAACCCGACCCATGCTATCAGTGCCTTATCGTCTAGAACAGATCATGTTCACATCATGAACCAGTCGTCCTTCAGTTGACCATACTGTTGATGTATGTCTTCATTTGATGTCGGTGTTTGAGGCCGTCATGCGATAGCTTTTACAATAAAGGGAGATAACTACGCATAACTCATTTCAGTGATTTGCTCATGACCACAGTGTAACATGAAACGAGCATGATCCACATTTAAATCGGTCTGGGTCAAAGTGATCCTCTAATGCTTGTCCTATATTGCCATTTCATATATATTTAGAGCATACTTAGACTCTTGTAACTCGATATTGTAGGTTCCTGTTTCTGTAAAAAGAACTATTCATTTAAATGCACGCTGTTTTCCATAAGAACAGCATATACCTGCTTGAAAAAAGCTTATGTTGTTTTATAACGTTTTCTGAGACATCAGTTTACATTAGTGAAGGCAATATCCTTTATGATGAGAGAATGTAAATAGTTATATTTCAGCTACCGAGTAAAAACGTCAGTTTCGAGTATGCTGTCTTGATAAAAGCCATGCGTTACACAGATGCATGCTAAAAACTCATTAAAACTCAGTTTACGAGAATAGATATATACATTGTGTTATACTTCATAACAACGCCATAGATATGATATGAATTACGCAATAACGATTCACGCGTTAGATCTGCGCTGTGGGATACATGTGCCTACGAGTAAATTGATCGTTGTATGCCTTGTCAGGCTGTGTTATTAGACGTGTTAGTATTGCGTGATGTGTGATGAGAGGCACATGCACCTGGGTCGCCTTTCTTGCCAGGAAATCCTAGGAGTCCCCTCTCCCCTTTCACTCCGCCATCCCCAGGAATGCCAGATTTTCCTGGAACAGATGTTATTGGTGCAGGGATAGGAAGGGTTAGGTCATAGCACAGCAAGCATAAACTAGGGGCATATGGAGGAAATGTGATGATTTTATTACATTCAAGCAATGTTATGTTGGGTGAAAAGGCAGTGTTAAAACTGTTGCAATGAGGGCTACATGATTATTTATTGAGCATATTACTAATCTAATTGTATTTTGAAAAGCTATCCTCTATCTAGAAATGATCATTACGTATTACTAATTAATTTGTTACAGTTCACCAATATCTCCTGAAAGCATCTCCTGTTGAGCGCCTAGAACCGCAACAATACCACAGCGGGGACGCCAGCCATAGATTCCCAACTGTCACCCATGCAGGGAATGGAACGTATTGCTTCTGAATAAACTTTTTGGAAAAAACCCACCTCGTTTTGGGACATTACGTGTACGGCAGGTAACGAAAGAATAACTTTTGATTGCACAAAGGGGAAACGGTGCAGTGGGACTCAATGCACGTGTCTGTCGTCGACCACGTCGACTCAATGCATGTAGTGGGTTTGTCCACATCACTGGCCCACGAGCACACCTTTCATCCCTGTAGCTATCCACTGCAAGGCTGATGCAGATCCGCAGGTTCAATACTGGATTTTCCGCTCTTTTCGATGTTCATTTGACCAAGGACATGCTTAATACTCATACTCGAGTGCTATAGTGAGTGAGTGAGTGAGTATAGTTTTACGCCGCTTTTAGCAATATTCCAGCAATATCACGGCGGGGGACACCAGAAATGGGCTTCACACATTGTACTCATGTCGGGAATCGAACCCGGGTCTTCGGCGTGACGAGCGAACGCTTTAACCATTAGGCTACCGACCGCCCCTCGAGTGATATAGATACATATATGTACCAACAGTTTCATGTATCATGGTGACACCTCGATAGGAATATACGAAGTCTACATCCCCCGATTACCAGCTACTTAATGACAAAGTGGGAGTCAAGAGGTGTGTAGACGGGGCGTGATTTCTCTCGCCGCAAAGCGTTTCTTGTGTCACATGATTAGCAAGTCAGACTCACGAGAGATCTCGCTGACTTGAATATGGACTATTGTCAGATGATGATGTTTCTTAATTTATTTAGTATTACCACAAGTCTACCCTACCTAAATATGACCTCCCATCATTGGCGTGTACTTTAAACATGACCATTCCGGCGTGTTTTCGAGGTACACGCATTGCTTACCCAGGCGTCCGTCTTTACCATCTCTCCCGGGTGTTCCGGGTTGACCATGTGCTCCCTTCATTCCGTGTGGTCCAGGCGGTCCCATGGGACCAAGGTCCCCCGGTTCCCCATGATCTCCTGCAGACAGACAATATGGCAAAATTATTTTTTTTCATTCGAAACATGTCATTATTGTAAAAAAAAGATCACACATTGGTTGTAAGAGGCGACAAGCGGGATCCGATGGCCAGGCTCGGTGACTTGCTTGATTGCGTGTCATCTTACCCCGGCGGCGTGGATCGCTGCTCATTATATCAGTCATTGGAATGTCTAGTCTTTTTTTTTTACAGGCAGTCGTCTTATAACTGGGATATTGCGACGTTATTCAACAAACAAAGAAATAAATGTCAACAATGCAATATTGTGTAATATTGACTAGATATGAAGCTCCATGATTGGAACAACGTTTTTCAAAACTAATTTCCTTGACCCGAACATTGTTTTCGAAACCTTTTTTTGTTCTCTGGAGCAGTATTCTTGTCGGGAACGAACTATATTAAGCTACATAATTACATTATTGTTTAAAGATAGATAGTAAATATACACTCTCAACGACTCGTGGACGTTGTTTATGGTATAATAAAACACTGCAGGGAGAATAAACCATGAGAGGTGAGCCCTGAGTGATTTATTATCCCTGCAGTGTTTTATTGTATGATAATCATCGACTACGAGTCGTTTATTTCTTATATGAGATATCAACATTGCGTACAGCCTCTTTCAGGATGTTAGTAAAAAGTACACGCTTTAAAATTATTTACTCGTATTCAAATAATGATGACTCCCTGAATAGAATCCGACAGTGGCAATGTCGGACAAGTCCATTTTATGAACGGGGTGGTGGTGGTTACATTTGGTCTTTCCCGCATATTCTCACAATTCTGACGTCGATTATCTGTACTCCTTCTCCCAATGCCGATTGTCATATTGTCAGGCCATTGCGTTTATCTACGTTGCACATCTACATCTATGGGGAACAACTCACTAGACACTTCCAACTTCCAACAACAATTTGTTGTCACGAACAAACAGTCGTCCGAAAGTATCATCATTTGGGGCGAGGAGTCCCAATAACACATTAAGATTTGGGTGTAACCTACTTGCAGTAATGTTAGTTTGATGAATGAGGGGCCGAGCATTGTTGGAGACACGTTTGTATTTTGGGTCACTTCTTCAAAACATGTTTTTTTGTCTGAAAGGAGGAGCAGAACAATGATATTTATTTCACAACACATTTGTACAGGACAATGAGCATGCCCCAGCAAGCATTGTGTTGTCTTTTTTGAAAAACCTGAAGGAAACCGACCCCACCCCGAATATCAAATGCTTGGTGCCTAAGGTCTCTACACATCTGACCCGTGAAGATTCCGGGGTAGAATGGGTCTTCAGCAACCCATGCTTGCCGTAAAAGGTGACTATGCTTGTCGTAAAAGGCGACTAACGGGATTTGGTGGTCAGGCTCGCTGACTTGGTTGATACATGTCATCGATCCCAATTGCGTGGATCGATGCTCGTGATATTAATCACTGGATTGTCTGGTCAAGACTCGATCATTTACAGACCGCCGTCATATAGCTGGAATATTGCTGAGTGCGGCGTTAAACAACCAACCAACCAACCAACCAACCAACTCTACACATCTTCCCACTGTTCATTGATGAGCTATTTATTTTCCTTTATTAATATATGGATACCTATTTAATCGCCTGAGTAGGTTTATTTGATCGGACGTGTCAGTTATATGACGAACGGAATTGTTATTTGCATAAAGGAATTTGTAGGGCAGAACGTTATTTGACAGGAAACTAGATGCAAGAAGAGAGACACGAGTTAACATGTATACATAAGGTCACTGTCCTTATTTAATTTACGCAAACAAATAGTTCTAGAGTATCACAGAAATGCCTTTAATCGGACCAGCGATGGGATCGCAATGGCGTGGCTCAATTTGGATTCCAGTTTCGGATTGTTCTTTACATGAAAACGTCAAGCGGATGGACAGGTATGATTTACACAAGCCCCTGTGTATTAATGCAGTGAAACCTTGTTAATCCAGACGTTATCGGTCGCAGTGAAATCGACAAGTTGAACAAATGTCCGTTGTATCAAATCATGCGTACGCTGTAATGTATAGATTATACATCTGAGCGTTTATCGTCCGGAAGGCGGGGTTTCCGGATTAAAGGGGTTCGGATAAACGAGGTTTCACTGTATAGCTCTTTGAGCAGCTGACACGACAACGTTGTTTTGTACGGTAGAATGTAAATGCTGGATACATATTTACCGCTCCAATTTACACCATCAGCTGGGCTTTAGCTACTTTAGCTATTTGCGTGCAGTTTCCAAGGCTCTGCATTCGATCGGAACAATCGCATTATACAATGTCTATATATTAGGACAATACTTATCCGGCCATGAGGAATTACTGCCGTGATTACCTGTCTCGACTGTATGAATATTCATGGTCGGGATCCCTTGGCCACGAGGGACACATAATCCTTCAAGCCAAATTGGAGTCGATTATAGTTTTCACTTATCATTTTAGAAAGCCATTTGAAGCATTTACCCGCAAAAAGTCCATCGATCTAAATAGCCCACAAGTTTATCTGTGCAAAGTTTAATCAGAAGTATAATCATAACAAATACAAACGTCTTGAGCAAAACGGTTTTTTTCTCCACCAATGATATTTTTTGTAAAATACGAATAGTTTTGGTTTATGTCTGTATTTCATTGGACATATATTCTTCACATACCTGATCCAATTTCGAATATGTGATATCGGAATTAATGCAAGAGATTTCGCATGACTGGAGAGGACTTTAAAAAATCCTAAGAAATCTCTGCTAAAGTCCATTGTTGGATTCCGACTTGGATGGTGTTCCTGAACACTACCACATATCAAATATCAATATATAAAAAACAGATCAACAAGGTGGGGAACACAGGTGATGCCCATGGGGATGCTTACGTTTGGCCTAAATGTCCTATCCCCAGACTTCACATCGATGTTATCTGTGGGGAACTCCAGCATGTCACATGTTGGCTTTTATGTAAACTTAAGATAACATTAACTCTCATCGTTGAGTGAGTGAGTGAGTTGTGTTTAACGCCGCTTACGCCTTTAACGCCCACGAGCACGGGTATGGTGCTGACAAACCTAGAAACTTAATCGGGGCGAACCGGGATTCGAACCTACAATCATACTTTTTTAGGTTTCTGGCGTGTCCAGGTGACGCAACTCTGCACAGCGAATCGCGGCGCCTTAGACCACTGGGCCACCCGTGCCCCCCCCCCCCCCCCCCCCCCCCCCCCCTCTCATCGTGGACCGTTCGCGACAGAGATGTTTGTTTGTTTGTTCGTTTGAGAAAATTCCCCTTTGGGTTAAGGAGTGAAGTATTTCCTTAAGTTTATCGTGTTGGATAGTAATGTCCAAAGTTGAAAACAATCTTATTGAGCTTGTTCCTTACTCAGATTGCAAAACTTCAAGCAAACACTTGTCTTTTTTTTCAGAATGGACATGGTATTGATTCCACTTGTCTCAAACAATGGCCGTGAATATATAGATAGTCCTTCCTTGATTGTGTGATGGATTGTGCTTCAGCTGTGAGGCGGGTGAGGAACTCAGCAACATCTCTCCCTCACTTTGTGCGGATTTGTATGGGGCTTTGGAATCCAGTACAAAAAATGAATGGGCATGTCTTAGGGTTTTAGAATCAAACGAAAAGTTGATGGTACTGATGCGTGGTTTGGGCAGACATCTTCCTCAGTTAACATCCTGGACTAATGGAAAAGTTTTTAAACAATAAATGTAGTGACTCCTGGCTTTGTTATTGATGCCTTCTCCGTGGGAAAAACTACAAACTTTTTATAACTTTTGATGACTGGGGTAGAATGGGGTTTTTTCAAGTCTGTTTCCTCTTTTTCAGTTTGTGCATCCTGCAAATGATCTATCAGCATCCTGCACTGACTAAACCTATTCTGAAAGACACTCAACAGGTTCATCTTCTCTGTTGTGAAAAGCGACGTTAAACCCAACTCACTCACTCATCTTCTCTACTGGACCATGTTTTGGCACACTTCACTGAAGGAAGCTCAGTGGATAAAGCGTTTTCACATCAGGCCGAAGACCCATGGCAACACTCAACATGGGTATGATTTGTGGACCCTGTTTCGGGAGTCCCTGAAGGATGTTGCTGGAATATGGTTGCAATCCCCTTACACAAGCTGCTTCACAAAGCCTTATTTACATGCGTTACAAGTTACCTCCTTACCTAATTAATAATTAAATGATTTTGTCCATTTAGTATCCATATGACAATTCTATAGATATATCCCTCTTGTTTATGTCAATTGATATATTGAAAGGCAGTGAATCATGTCAAGTTAACGTTGCATGACTGTTTTAGATATAACGGTATGAAGTGCCTATGTTAGTGAGCGACTGTGATTATCATCTGTCAGGATTAGGAGCAGCATGACAGGGGTACACCAAGAAAGAACTGTGCAAATAATATACATGATTATGTGTATAAGTGAGTGACAACCCGAAGTGATGCAGGTTGTCTATAAATAGAAATGAGTGAGTGATTTGAGTTTAACGCCGCTTTTAAAAATATTCCCGTTATATCACGACGTGTCAGCTTAATGCGGGAGGAAAGCCCGAAGTGATGCAGATTGTCTATACATAGAAATGAGTGAGTGATTTGGGTTTAAAGCCGCTTTTAACAATATTCCAGTTATATCACGGCGTGACAGCTTAATGTGAGAGGAAAGCCCGAAGTGATGCAGGTAGTCTATAAATAGAAATGAGTGAAAGACACACAGACTATATCAGTTTGATGATACACAACGCCAAGATCTAGGCTGCAAATGGACATCGGCTATTGCAGCATACACCCTGTTTAGGTCTTGTCTAGGTGTCCTGTTACAAGAATTCACAGACTCTGACAGTGTCTGGTGATGAATCCCTGCACACATAGTTCATTAATTCATACCACTGCATAGTCATTGTCTCCCTTGTTTGAAAGATCGATGCCTTGTTCCCCGTTAAGCAAATAGTTCAATGTATTCAGAAGAG